AGCAAGTGTCATTAACACGTTGACAATCCTGAAACATAAGTGAAAATAGGAAATCAATTTCTGTAGTTTCAATACAATAGTGTTCACTTTATGAATCACCTCAAGAGTGCCACAGTCACATTCTTCTCCAGGTTCAATAAAACCATTACCGCAGGCAGCGTCTGTCGCAAACTGTTATATAAGAAGACGCACATAAATAACTCATACTTTATATAAACCTGAAATTACTTCACATCTTAATTCCAAGAGCTACCTTCGTTGGGTGGTTAAACAGACAATGTCCAACATTGTCAACGGCAAGGAAATTCTGAAGGTCATCTTTGCTGCATTGCGAGAACGTCACCGGTGGTGAACTTGTACTAAGATAATAAATTCAAGTTTCATATTAACGTCATGTGTCCAAGATTAAAACATACTGATAGAAAATGAAATTACCTTAGTAGAGCATTCATCACACAGCCATTAGAAGTTGGACAGCTTTGACAACCTAAGAAAATAGAGAAAGGATATTTAATGGATATTTAGTGCATCCCAAATGATTGCCATCAATTGTTCAATTGTGAAATTAGAAAGATATTTCTTACTGTCATCGTGTTGAAGACCAAAGTTGTGTCCCATTTCATGAGCCATTAGAGAACCAGTGAACGCGGCGCTGTACCCGAGATCCTGATCAATAAAAAGAAAAGAGTAATGAATGATCCCTCAATAACAGAACATGAAATACGCAGGTCATCGCTCTTCACTCACTGAGACAATACCAGCAGAATTTGAACGGCATATTGTTTTTATATACGCATAACCAGCGACATTCCCATCATAATCCATTTGTCTGTAATTTAAGAGAAGATTTTACCGTCAGGTTTATGCTAGCTATCATGATCGGAAACGAGTGCGCGAGTTGGAAACACAGCCGAAAGAACTATAGTACTTTCCAGTTCACCAACAATAATCGTGCTGGATCACCATGCATGCCACTATTACAAACAGTTCCTCTCCCTGAAGCTAAAAAATATATCGCTTTTCAAGACTGAAATCACGTACGAGAGTAATTGAGCATTATCATGATCTTTTGTCGTATCATTAACATCCAAGACATTATTTTTGTAATTCAAGAAATTAGACAATGTTGTTTGGGGGCTTGTGACCAACGATATTTGATTTCCGTTTGTCCACGTCTCAATCATAACTAAAGCGACACGGATGTGAAATACGTCTTTGTAGATCTAAAAAATACAAATGAGTTGGGATAGATACGACATATGCATATAGATCTTAGCGTGTAGAGACACTGAAATCATAGTAGAACGACGGTCAGCGATAATCTGCCAGGCCCTTGACGGAATATCCATGAAGTCTGGGTTCAAAATAAACTGATTATTTGCAGAACGGATTCCGATATTCAGATATATTATACTGGGGCCGGTTGTATGAAAGCCGGATAGCGCTATCCACCGGATAGTGATTTTTTCAATCGCTTTAAAATCGCCCATTGTTGGGTATAACTTTGATTAAATCTTAGTTTTCCTAAATTGAGGATCCTCTTTAACAAAATTTGGCTACAAAGCTGAAATTTTATAGCTATTCAAGCATTTTTAGAAGGGTTGAAAAAATCACTATCCGGTGGATAGCGCTATCCGGCTTTCATACAACCGGCCCCTGATCGAGAAGGCAACCATTTGTTTTCATCAATCTGTTTAGATAGATTTGAACTCACCGAATCTACAATATTTGCAATAGTGATAGCTCTGAGTTTCGTTTTAACAATATCACTTTCATAGAAGACAAACTGAAAATAAAATTTAAAAATATTCGTTGATGATTTTACCTCTGGATAAATGAAGAGAAATGAAGCCTTTATACCTGACTATGGTCATTCACTAAAATCAATTCCACGTATTTCGTCTCAGTTAAAACATCACGGCGAACCTGGAAGAGACGAGAAAGGTTTTCATAATTATTTTATCCACTTCCTTTCACAATATCAATCTTGATTCGAGACTCACTCGATGGCTTTTTTTTCTGGAAATCTGATTCAACAAATCGTAGTCGTGATGAGCTGACTGCATTCCGTCATGAGCTGAGATTAAATATATAAGATTAAATTATTGTATAACCACTGCATGCAGTGTAAGCGCTTTTAAATTACTCTACCTAAAGGTATTTTGTTGTTCTTATATTTTTTCATGCCTGGTTCTTCGTTATTTTGTAAACCTTCATGTATATAATAACTTACCACACCGAAGATTCGGCCCTGTGATGTCATCAGGAGTGTAGACAATATGGCTGGTGATCTATAAACAAATAAACAGTTCATTGGATGATACCATAAACACAATAAGGTCGTCACACTGTAGAATATCAAATCTTAAATTTTTACCTTTTGATCCTGGTCAAACAGAGGCTGGATAAAAAACGTTTTGTCATTTATTCTGAAGTAACCACTGCAAAAATAAAGAGACGACGTTAGCGAACTTCAGCGGGAACGGACATATTTAAATCTGGCGTGCATGATACTGGGGTATTCTTGTATGAAATATATATTTAGTGGGAAGGACGGAAGTCACGGAACTTACTGAAAACCGTCGCAGGTGGCCAAAGCTAGATTTGAATCTTCTTCGCTTCTTGCATGACCGTGAAAACAACAATCGTGTGTTCGCTGGAAAAAGAAATTTGGGATGGAAATTCAACTCTAAAAGTATTATAAAAAATTACCAGTACGTGGGTTATATAATAATCACACCTTTCTAAACGTAGTTTTTCCGTTTGGAAGGAAATACCTCTCCTTATATCGAGGTGAAAATAAGTTTCTGAAAAAAGGTAGGTATTCATAAAGATAAGATCGAATGTTGTCAATGATGCCATGCTTGCTCGTGTCGGAAATTTAGGGCGAAATTGATATACCTGTTTGGTACAAGATCAAGAACTATGTTCTTTTTGTTGACCACAAAAGATATACTTCGCTCCACTTTTTCATCCTGCATCAAAATATATTTGTTCATGGTTTTTAGAAAGTCAAAACAGAAAAACGTTCCAGCGGACGAATATAAACTGAAGTCTATTTACCTCATCGTAAAAATCTGGGAATTCATTTGAAATTGGCGAGACATCGTGGGGATGAATAATTTCATAATCCTTCAACCTGTCCAGGAGATCTTTATCTTTCGAGTCAAGTTTGTTATAAATGCTATCAGAGATTTCGTTTGTTTGTCTGTGGTCTGAAATTACATAGATTCGATCGTCTTAAAAATGACAAATAGAATTTATAGACGAAAGTATTGTGTTGGATAATTGATATGATAGAAAGAGCGTGACATAGTGGCCAGAAAATAGTTTCAAAACAACGTTTTACTAAACGAGGTTTCGCATTTTTTCTGTAGAGCTCACCAAACATAGAAAAAGTTCCACAGATGCGAATGACAAGTCGCTAGGTTGCCATGTCACCCATCATTTGTTTAAAGATGTTGTACAAAATAAACTCCTCGATTTGTATAACAAAAGAAACGCAACATGAGTTCTTGTGCCCCCACTTTTTTGTCATGAGAATGTGAGTGAAATTTTGAAAGGAACGGTATTTAGGGGTTCCTTACCATGCTGAAGTGAAAATAAACTCAAAGCCAAATGCAAAAGCAGGATAACCAGCACCTAGATATGAATAAAACACCACGCTACATATATTTTCACTTTTTATCAAATTTTTAATCATTACAACCTCCTAGGGCTCGCACTAATTGGGTTAGATGACTGCATGATAACAAGAAATTATCTCAGTGTTATTCAGTGGCTTTCGGTGTTTATTTTGTGGATTTTAACCTAACAAGTACTGACTATAATTTTAAAAATCCTGAGTCGAGAATCCATGCCGAGCGAAAGCTTTTGAAAAGTTTTTAAATTGGCTGTATTTATAATAGAGATGGTTCATTCGCATGGACTAGAGACAAATTGACCGCGTTCATGGATAAAGAATACAGACAAACTATCAGTTGAATCACCTTTCTTTTCACTGAAGTTGGCCAAATAAATCATCCATCTCTAGTATACACCTGGCCATAGATCGTATAACCATACGAGCCAACCTATTTTGAACTAACAGGTGTTCAAGCTTACTGACTTGTATGGCTGTTCGCTTGGTCAACCCTTGAACTACTCTAACTTAATTATTTCATTTTCTTTAAATCTATATACCCAAGTACCCAACCCATTTAAATAAAGGAATTTTGGACCCTTGGCCTTGAAGTTGATTTCATTCTAATTACCCGGGTCTTATTGGGTTAACTTTGTTTGTAATCGTAAATTTATCTCAACCAACCTGAGATTTTAAAACCAGCTGAGTCATTCCTCCGTCGCACACGTTAGTTAGCTAAAGTCTATACAGTGTAGTCAATAGTACAATGTTTCCAGTAATTTAATTTAACGTCACCTTGATCGTTGGTCATGCATGTGTTCAATTTCACAATGATTATGAAATTTATCTTGGTAAGAAACAATCAAAATGAGCAACAATCCAGCTGTTGCTAGGAGGTCAGTTGACGAGGCGAGAAATAAACAAGAGGAACGAATGTTACTAAAAGAGACCACGAAAATGAAAGGGATGAATCTGACACATTTGAGGAAACAGCAAAGTTGATAATATTCTCATTCTGCCATCGCAAGTCGTTGTTAAATGACTGAAATCGACGCAAGAATGACAGCATGATGTCGCATTTTTCAGCGGAATATTGCTTATATTAACTGCGCAATGATACTTGATTACGTATAATGATTTACTAAACCAATAGTTCTTAGTTTTAAGACGAATAAATAAAAGAAGACTAAACAGGATTGATACAAGCGTGTGTGTGGCTTCAATCTTGATAACGCTTTTGGCACTGCACGTTTAGTTCCTGACGTCAAAAGATTCCTGCGGAGGCGTTTGGCGCCATTCCTACATCACAAGGTGAATTAATTGGCAACCATATTCAGATAATTGTTCACCAAAATAAACACTTTATTAAATGCTTCAGTTGAAATCATGACGAAACGGAATATGTAAAGTGCGAAACTTAGAGTATAGAACTCGCTGAATAAACAGAAACTACAGCTCTTGAAGTGATTGAGTTTGTTGATGTACATTTTAATCAGTGGTTAGTTATAATTCTCCGAAAACGATATTTAATCCTTCACCTTGACTCGCTCATTAACATAATAATGAGATTTCGCATGACCGCTATTCGCTGATCTTAAACTATGATAGAAGTTTTCTTCAATCTCATCTGAGCTATCAAGATCTTGGTATCCTAGCATTGGTTCTGTGTTTGCGCGAGGCTTTGTAAGAACGCGCGGCGGGCATTTTTTCTTTGTTGTTGTCTCGGTTTCGGAGTTTGCCTGAACTTCTTCTTCCGCCTGATTTTCTTCGGATTCCTCCCCACCATCGTCTGTCAGTGACTCATCTGGTGACTGATACACCCGATCATCATCTTCCGGGGGCTTCCTTGCCTGTGTTTCCCTAAGATTCTGGTTCTCACCCGCTCTCGTTTCCCCCAGCCTCTCTCTCGAGGAAACAACGGTATCTGGATCAACATAGACCGCCATATTGTCATTCGCTCCCCCCTGCGGGATGCTTGGTAATACATGCACATCAATATAATTCAGGGGGTCCATCTTTCGGCCTTGGGAAATAGGCAGAGTGGCAGGATCAATATACACCGGGGAATTTTGGTCGTTTTGCTCCGCTTCTTCTTCAGATTTCCTGCAGTCAGATGACTGATATATTCTCAACAGCAAAAACCCCAATAATATCCCAATTAATGCGGCACCACCGACAATATACCACACATACTGTTGAAGGAAGGATTTTTGATTTCCGGCCGTCCCATCTGTAACGAGAGAAATACAAATCGATAGCCACGATTAGGTTGAAAGCCGACACCAACAGAAATAATAATAATAAGAGAAAAGAAAGAAACCCACCTTTGGAAATAGTTAGAATTCCATTCAACCGCCACTGATCTTCACCCTGACTGTTCTTCGCAATGCAAACATAAGTTGTATTAACTATAACTTTGTAATCCTTTATAACAATCACTCCAGAAATATCGGCAGTGTAGGACAAACCATTTGAAAGTTTGATAACATAAGTTGGTTTAGGCAGACCGTCCGCAAGGCAGGTCATCTTCATTGACTTATCTTCGAGAAGCTTTCCGTTGAATGAACGGATCTTTGGAGCATCTAAATGATGGATACTTGTAGTTAAAAACAGAACAACATCCATGTATCGTACAGTTGCTTCATACAGTAATTTGTTTTGCTATCATTGTATGAGATGTGAGAACTTACAGAGAACTGATAATGTCAATTTCTTTTCAACTATCATGGAGTGAAGCTGTGCTCTGCATATGTACGTTCCAGTCATGTGATTTTGAACATCTTGAAGAAACAGTTCAACACCTCCGTCTCTCCTCCTTCCATCCAGAAACGGAGGAGCTCCGTCCATTTGCCAGAAGGATTTTGGAGTAAAATAACGACTGTGCGCAAAACACCAGCATGAAAAATTCATCCCTTGTGGGACATTTACTCTTTCGGGGCATCTCATTTCTGCCGTTGGATTTCCTGAAATATCACAAGATGATTTAGGTTACTGTGTTTCCACGAAAATCGTGGAATAATTCACAGGATCGAATCCTGATCTAATATGATTTTACCATGATCTATGCACCATAAGGCTTTATACCGTTTTTGCTAGATCCGGTATAACCCATACCAAGCTAAACAAACTGTTGATCAATGTTTTCTGACAGTAGAACACACAATGAACGGCATTGTGAAGCATTCTTTCATGACTAAGTTGGTTTACCAACGCATATATGTACCTTGAACTGTAACATTAAAGTGCAACACAGGATAATGTTGCGATGGTAGAGAAAACACATTGCACCAATAGATCCCACTATCTGACGAAGTTGTATCAACAAGTACCAAACTTGCGCTGTCCAGTATCGATGCTCGGTCATCGTAAAACTCTTCAGACACAACGTGGCCTCGATCCCATGTGACAGAAAGTAGTCGCTTCTCAAAATTCGATTTGTCAGCGCGAAAGTTCCAATCAAGAAACACCAGCATTGGCATAGTATCATCTGTTCCTTTCAAGGAGATGTTCAGTTGCAATGTTTGCCCCTGTATTATGACGATGCGATTTGAAGAAGATCTTTGAACAGAGAACTTTCCATTGCTGAGTTCTAAATATTGCAAGCAAGCAAAATCACTTTATGCGAGGATTTTAACCTTTAAGTCCTTTAAAAGTTTATATACCAAACCCAAAAACTCTAAAAACCGATAACAACAGATTCATTGCACTCGCTAACCTGAGAACAGTTTCAAAGAAAATAAGATGAATAACACATTTCTGGGAAGGTTGAACCACATTTGTACGTTTGTTGGACTGTGTTAAAAACAGAATAGCAAAATATAGTAAGTATGCAGTCAGACCTAAAACCTTTGTTTAACTAATTAATATATTTTAAATCAACTGTAAACTAATGAATATTGTGTTTGAAGCCTGAAGTTGTGAGTAAACTTTCATCGACACTATCAGTAACATGAACTAGGAATTTTCTGGAAAATTTTCTCATCATAATGGTTTGGCAACTGCCTGAGATATATATACAAGAGCCTTCTCGATGTTTCGACTGAAGGGCCTTCGTCTGGAAATGGAGAAAGCCATACCAAAAAGATTTCTGATTCTTCTTGAATAGTACTTAAACAAGACGTTTCCAAACGTTTATATAAATGCATGAAAATTACTCCAATTACTTAGTTATCATTGCAAGACATTATTCAGGTACATAAATTTCAATCATCAAACAACAAAAGCACAATATGATCAAATACATTGAGATATGAGGCTGACTGTGCAGCTACATGGTCGCATCTTGACGTGCATAGCAACACGATCAATAAAAAACAATGACCATAATATCGTAACGTATCGTAATACATAACCACAACTTGTCTTCAGGAATACGAATTATTTAAACGAGTGAAACGAGTCTTCCAAATGGTAAAGCAAAGTTTGATAAATAATAATTAAGGAGTGGTGACGAAATAAATGAATATAGTCTTCCAAACGAGTGATTTGGTTGAGTTGGTTCGATTCATTTCGCATACAAATTTCACGCTACTTAATTACAAGTCAGTTTGCGCATTGAGATCAATATTGCTTAGAGGTCGGTGTGAACAGAACCGCCTGAAAAAATAAGCATATTTTGCAGATCTTTGACGTTTTGTACAAGAATCCCTTCGTCTAGGAATTGTTAGAAATACCAGGAAAACGTAGGAGGTAATCCTCTTTCATAATTTTGTAAACGTAGACATTTTCGCAAACGCAACAAGCAAGCTTTCTTGAAGAATGAGTTAACAATATTACATGGGTATAGCCTGCAATAAAAAGCAGTATTTAAATAATTCGTCATTCGACTTGCTTTAACATGATAAACTAAATGAAAAGACGCCTTCAAATAACTAGTGTACCCGAATACAAATTTTTCCATTACGAAACTTTGAGTTTCTCATCTCCCACGAAGATGAAACGAGCCCGAATAATATATACAAATTATTTCCAACAAAAGTTCAATATTAAGGAACAAATGAACTCACCTTTAAACTTTGGACTCAGTACAAAATTATGGAAAAACGAATTGAAGTCATTGGGAAAAATTAATCATCAAAGTTTTAAAACACTTTGTTTTCTCCTAGTATATGCATCGATGAAGCTTCTACTCTTCTAGTACTCACTGTTTTGAGTTGTCATGACTCATGAGGATCTGAAAGAGTGTTCCATCCACACTTGATATTCACAATCAACCCCATATCCACGGTCAATGCCTAATACAGAGTGACTGACCGATAAAGCCAAACAGCCTTACTGTACTGCTGATATGCTGGGTTCCCAAGTAAAATTTTGGCGTCGCGGCCACAAAAATTGCAGCAGTAGCCTATATATGAAGAAAATTATATTCATCACAGATATCGGGTCCCTAACATAAAAAAGTCAATGCAAAGCTTTGAGAGTTTAGAAAATACCAACGAGGATAAGGAATTCTTGGGATTTTTACACTTTTTCAAATGAATGTGAAATATTTTTGTCTAGCCCCGAGGGAAAAATGTCGGTAGAAGTAGTTTTAATATCGTGCAGAGTTAACGCAGGAAGACTTTTCCTATTACGACATATTTATTGATCGCTAACAATACACAATATTTTCATTATTTACAAGCTTCAGTTACAGTTGTTGCTCCCATCTTGTGGTTCTGAAATTGCCCAGACAAGCAGGAGACGGTCCATATGTAAAAATGGCAGCAAAAAATTAAAGGAAATCTTCGGGAAAAACTATTTACACCTCGACATTTTCTGGAAGGCAATATTGTTGCAGGTCCTGATATGGATGCGAGTCAACTCTGAATCGATTATCCAAGTCTGTGTAACCAGGAACTAAGCTCGTTTCATCTTCTTGTAAACACAGTTCCGGAACGATTTCCTGGCCTGGTGAGCTGGCTTGGTTGACATTAACATAAGTCGTATACGTTTCGGGAAGATCAGCAACTTCATACGGAGAAGCAGAGTCGGCCACTTCATGCAACGACATATTTCTATTCATGTCTTGATACTGCGCTGTTACATCCAATTCGAGACCGCTGCTGTTAAAACGAACGTCTTCATAAACACCTTTGGATTTACGACATTTACCACGAACATGCTTAATGACCAAAACCAAAACTATGCCAAGGAGAACACCAACGCCAAGTGATCCAGCCAGGTACAACCATGTAGGACGGCGCTTTACTGTTGGTTTCTCAACTTTCATTTCTTCTTTCACTGGTTAGAAAAAAACCCCAGTAACTATATCTTTTCAAAATGAGGTATCGAACTGAACCATTCTGCAAAAGCAAGAATATCTTACCTGGCAGGATAAGAACTTCCAGGGAGATTTCAACTATCGCTGTTTCGGTACGAACACGGCAGATATAAAATCCCTCATCGTTACGAGTGACATTTTCAAGATATAACTCTTCCTCGTGAAAAGGTCTCGAGTTTTTCAGCGTTTGGCCATTGCGTAGCCACATCGCTTGAGCTGTGACTTCTGATTGGGAAATGTCTTTGCACAAACAGAAAAAGCTTTGCTCTTCCAACAATCGCACGATACTTGGGCAAGTTATGCTTGCAACTGGTTTTTCTGTCAAATAGAAAGTTTATCTGGTAAATACAATGAAAAATCGAAGTACAACGTAATGCATTGAAACACAATGGAACAAATGAAACTCCAGATTTACCTTCAACATCAACGTTAAAGTCAACATGAATAGCTGTAGTGGTTGACTTCGGTTTCATCATGCGAAAATGATAAACGCCACTCTCATTCAAAGTAGTATTTCTCAAGACTAAAGTCGTTCCATTTTCTTCGAGTGATATCTTGTTATCTACGTCTTTTATGGAACTTTCTGTCCAACTGATAATTCTAACATCGGCGTTTTCTTCTTTCCTCGATCTCAACACAGAAGAAAAGTCCCAAAATTTTTCGTAGTTTTCGCCAGAAGAACTGACAAATACCTCTGGTAAACTTGGACGAAGCTTCAAATTTTGGCCTCTTGTAACGTGGACTATCTGTGGTACAGCATCGTATAAGTTCATCTCCTCCTCTACGTGGAAATTCAATACGAGCAACACAACGTTAGGAAAATACAAGGTGCAAAAAATAATTTTGATTTTCATTAAATTACGTTAAATAGCTTGAAAGTTTCACTACACGCAAAGAGAAACGTTTCCGTGCATGTATAAAAATGCTGATGAATTCCTCATCAGCAAAATGAAATAAGATTACAATATTGGCGGCAATAGCGGGCGGAACAATGTAAGGAGGTGCTAAATAGCTTAGAAGATTTCTTCTGGTAGAGAAAACAAACAAATTCTGACAAATTATTAATCTAATTCCTGACAAATTATGCGATTTATATCAACAAGTGATTTCACCTTCAACTATGACGCGAAATTCCACTCTAATGCTCCAAGGACGAGGTGGTCTCCGGAACTTGCAACGATAAACACCGGAATCAGCTAGGGTCATATTCTTCACAACTAAATCAATATATCTTTCTCGTGAAACTCTTGCAGTATCGTAGGAGAAATAAACTTCACTGCTTGAACCAAGTTGTCGTACCATCTGCAGCTCGCGAACATAGCTACGTTCCGTAAAGTCTGGAGAAAAGGCCCAGTATCCAGTTGTGTTCCCTCGATACAAATCCAGGCCGTCAATATCAAGTCTGATTTTCAAGCTTTGTCCTACTCTTACGAAGTCTGGGTCGGGCGTTACCTTTCTGACGGAGATCCAATCATCTGAAAATGGTGCAAATATATTGAGCCTTACAAAAACAAACTTGTTTGGATAGAAGGCTGATTAGAAGTGGCCGCCCTTTAGATGCGAAAGCCACAAAAGTGGGACGCCAACGCCTTCTATTCTTATAGAATTCCACTCGGAAACCACTTGGAAGAAAAACATGTGAGAGCCAATACTTGTATACCACCTCTAAGAGAAATTACTTTAAACTAAAACAATTTCCCTATTCTTTTGTGCCCGTCAATTCCGTATCATTTATTCCACGCCTGTACTCGTGTAAAACTAACTTCTTTTAAAGTAATCACGTTCACACATTATTTCTCTCTTTGTAGATAGCCATAAATCACATGATGAATACTGAGGTATGCAATCCGTGAAACAGCTTTAATCAAACATTATATTGTAGTATGGAGAGTGCCAAAAGCCTCATCTTGCAAAATAATGTTATTGCCAGAAGGCAAAACGTTTAAAAAAGAACGTTTCGTACTTGCTTTAAAAAGCCTTCAATATAGCTCTTGATCGAACGTAATCGTAAAAAAATCGTTAAATAATCAGCACTTCTGAGAATTACTTAACTTAACATGAAACAAACACATTACCTGAACTTCTTACAGCTGTCAAACATAAAGCAATGCAGATAAACAGGAAAGCATCACCAAGCGAAGAATCTAACGCCATTACTTTAATGAACTTCTTCGAACAGTAAATTTATACGAATTACGAAGACCAGTGATACTCTGGGTTGTGATGTTCACAGACTTCACTCCTACTCACACAAGGGCAAATGAACAAAATGTTCATATCTTCTCGCTGTTTAGCATTTACGTATTTTGTTCCATTGTGTAAGTACAATAAAAAACGTCACCGTTTCCGTTTGCTTTTGAAACACGAGAGCCTTCGTTTCTTAAGGTCTGCAAAACAATTATGAATATAATTAGGACATGTAAGATGCTGTTTTGCTTTATTGGTGTAATATTGAAAGCACGAGATCGCGGCTCGTGTAGTCAAAGATCTTTTCCTTGCAATTGTATTACATTTTAGTCAAAGTTGTTCAAATAACGCGTGTCTTTTGAAGGGTGTGTTATATAGTTGTTTTTCGGGAATGACAGCAACCGTATAATGATGATTTTATATGAGAGTCATTTCCATTGTTTGTGCATGTGTTATAGCGCTAATCGTTATCGACTTAGGAGATCCCTCTCAGGAAGCAATCTCCCCCTGGAAATTCTCAGCAATATGGCCTAAATCCAAGAGTGAGGTGCTCACTAAGTGGCAAAGCAAAGACAAAAAAGCTTAAGCAAGAATAAATGTTGAATAGGAGGATTGCATTCTGTGCCAAGGCATACTTGATCCAATATCAAGTATATAAATATAACCAGTATAAACCGGCGTAGACTAGTCTGATTTCAAACTTCGCCCTTAACCACGATAAGTAATTGATTACCATCCTATAAAGAGAAATCAGCGATAATTTCATCCGACCAAACCTTTTTGGGCGAGGCTTGTATTGGATGTTGGCTGAAAAACAGGAAACAAGCTTACTTGATCAAATGTGACGTAGTTCTTTTTTCTCAGCTAAATTTTCACCAGACGACCAATTGATGGCCAATCATTTAAGAGCCATATTCCATATTCGGACGTTTTTGTTTTCACTTTTGTCGACGGTATTGCAATGGCATTGTTCTGTTTGTTATATGAGCGAATATAGGCCTGTCGTGGTCAATACCAAGAGCGGTGTTATTAATATCTCTTTCTGTACGACACAGTCACGAGATTGATAAAAAGGATCCTTGGAAACACCGCAGCCGGTTGACAATGCCAACATCGACAGCGAGGACGATACTTTGAGAGATTTTATTTACCAGCTACAACTGTCATTGATTTTAGTAGCAGAATATTCCACTCTTCTTTGAAATTAAACAGTCTAACAACCAATAAATAACTTGATCGTATTAATATCAGTCGTATTTACATTGCTAGTTTGTAAAACATTTTAATATACTGCGGTATGGACATATGTCACTTGGATGATGAAGCGGCAGTGAGCTAACTTGTGAATCTATATTGCAGCTGTCACTCATTTTGTGACTGAACTAAAGAGAAGTAAAAGTTTGGTTGTTCAAGTAAAATGTCCGGAAATATCTCAATGTACACAGACTTGGCTATCAATGAGAGTGCGTCAGTATTCTTAATGGTATTAACATGTCTTCAAGTAATTCTTGGGTCAGTGGCCAACTTTATTGTAATCTTTATAATACTGAAATCACGAGAACTGACGAAACGCTCAGAAGATCGACTTATACTAAATTTGGCGTTTGCGGATTTCCTGGCGCTGACGACGTTCGTACCACTGCATATTTATGTCCTCTGGCAGGGGAAAATTAGCATTGGAATACAAAGAATCTACGAAGCGTTGAACTCCTTAGTTGTTTATTACGGAGGGAATGCAGTTATGTCTATTGCTTGCGATCGCTTTGTTGCAGTTCTATTACCTTTACGTCACTGGACATTGATATCAAAGAGAGTTACGTTTGTGATGGTATCGTTGACGCTTTTCGTAGCTGTTATCTTAGCAATCGTCGACTACGTTAGCCCAGATTTGACGCAAGAATCACGCAAACTTTTGATCAAAACAATATTTATTCCGTACAACGTTCTCTTTTGTAGCGTACTAGCAATACTTTATAGCTTCATCTTATACAGCACCTTAAAACAAGCGAGGCAAATTGCGAGGCAAAGAAGAAGTATCGGAGTTTCGTTTAGCAACTACCAAGGAAGATTATTTGTTAAAACAATTTTGAAAATAACTCTTTTAGTTGTGTTATACTATGCAACCTATTTGCCTTTATCAATTTACGTTTTAGTATACTCAAATTTGGTAGAAAATCAACAGAGAATTGTGCAGGCAACAGCTCGTTGCTGGTTATATTCATTTCTTTTTTTAAACTGTTGCGCGAATCCTTATGTTTACGCTTTGCAAACGGCAAGATTTAAAATTGCATTTTATAAAACTTTCCCAATCAGTTTTCGGCTGAAAGCTAACAAAACTGCAGTCATAGCAACTTAGAAACAAACACGCTTTAGACCTGTAAATAAATGTTCCTATAATAACATCATATTGTGATTGAAGTAGTCATAATTTTTTACAAATTTTAATAACGTCTCTGTATTTAAGTGTCACATCATGTTTACTAAACAATATTATAGCAAAGTCAATTATATGACAATCATTGCTGGGTCGTTAAAACGGCAGATGGTCGTCTATTCAGCTTCTTGTGACTGGCCTGCAGAAGATTGTGGGTTGATTGATTGTAATTTGCGCCATAACCGCGGTATTTGAATACAGTTCAATGTGATATTATGAGCCGTGCTTCAAGCCATAACTGCTACCGCCGCCTTTAATAAGGCTGTCGCCATCTTGTGACCATAGACAGCAGCAACATCAGCTGGAGTGTCCCCTGAATCATCAGTTAAATGCATAGGGCATTTGTGCTCGATCAATATCCTCAGTACTTCAAGATGTCCGCCTTCGGCTGCACAATGTGCTGGGGTCCAACCTCCAGTCATACGCATCCTGGGATCTGCCCCAGAATCCAGCAGAAGTTTCGTAACCGTTGCAAAGCCTGAGAGCGAGTTAACACAGAAGTTATCACTGTGATGAAGTGTACAGATTAGATTAGGCAAGTTTTTACCCTTGATCGCTACAGTGTAGGTGAATATAGGGAACCAGATTATAGGGAATGTGAAGTGGAAAAGCCAGTTTAAGGACTGCGGGCTCTACTCACCGTTGGAGGCAGCAATATGCAAAGCTGTACGCTTGCCCCAGTCCCAATCCTCAGCGTCGATATCAATGTCTGATCCCACTAAGACACACTGGAGTGTCTTCATGTCATTGTTCGCTGCAGCTTCGTGAAGCTCCGTCATGCGTCAAAACCTAATTAATTCAGTAGAAATGCGTTTAATATGACTTGGCCGCTTTATCACTGGATATTATAACAACTACAGATAAAAGAATAGAAAAAATGATTGAGTAGAGTAATGTAAGAGCCGTATATGTATTATAATATAGTTCGTCAATTGCAGTCAATAAAATGGGAAACTGAAAATTACGCTATGCACACAAACCATTTTACTCAAGTTAATTGTCTGGCGTTTCAACATGATGCGAAACTTACCTTAAATTGGACACAAAACAGCCTCCAGTAATTTCAAAACAAAAGATAATCGTCCAAAACTTCACGTTATTTGAGAAACCAAGGGAAACCACGAGATACAAGGAGGGAATTTAAGTTTACATGCAAGAAATTATTCGCATTGATAAGGATTGTTATGAAAGGAACCGACCACCTGCCGTTACCTGGGAAATTGAATAATTTAAAAGATAGCGGACTTAAAAAAACGGACTAATTTTATCGAAATATCTCTCTTCCAGAAACATTTCTTTTAATCGTGTTTTTGCGCAAAATTCCTTTGCATCTTCTTTCCATATTTCGGGACCGCCTTTTACATAATTTTGAACTCGTTTCAGACGAGATAATTTACAGATAATATACTCTATATATGAAAATATTTCCGCACTAAAATATGTCTACGCATGTCCGCTATAGGAGAATACCCGTTCACGTTATATGATATTGTGAAGTACTGTAGCGACACATCGCCGCTTAGTTTATGTTCAGTTAGTTCAGTATAACATACTTTTAACTGTCAAACCTTACTGAACAACCACCTCTGTATATTATAAGATGTATGACAGATTTTCTTCGCTGCTCGACCTTCCACAGCTAGAAATCCATGACTTTTCACGTTAACTCTTCGCGAAATCTTTCAGTTTCATTCAGAAACACAAATATAATCGTTTTATTTAATGGTTTCAAGGCTATCTTGGGATCCCGTCATACCTAAAGGTAGTATAGAATACACGTTTCACCTAGGGCAGAATTTTTGTAAATAAATGCCGCAAGCTGACTGCTAATACTCACGCAATTCTTGAGTTTTTACTCTATCTAAGATCCCTTTACGTTCAGGCGGTCTACTCTTCTTGAACATTGCTTGATGTACCTGCAGAAATATATAAAATAGTTGAATGCAGATATGTACAGGGTTTGACTCTCCCGGAGCAACCAAACAGGAGATATTTACCTGTTTGTTCATGACACAGTGGAAAATGAATATGAAAAGTCCTTGAAGAGAATTGAAGATTGCAAACAAGTATTTGAAAGCCAGTTCATCAAAGAAAAAGTCGAGAATTGCAAAGGTCCACGTGAAGCCGAGTACAGGCATAATGATGATTGAAGCTCGTGCGGTTGCTTTAACTTTTCCCAAAGTGTCTTCCTGTTGAACTTTGTGAGAGGTGAGGACACGATGTAGCATCAAGAAATATACAACGTAACTTGCCTAGAAAATGACGGGAAGGGGTTGCATCAAGAGAAGATATACCATGCATAGACAAGAGGATAAATGAGGCTATGTAAAGTTGTATTAAGCGAAAGAGTAGGTGTAAGTAGTTCATATATACTTACCAATAAGACCACGATCATCGGCGCTATAGCTGCCCAGATAAAACCTCTCGACCGGCTCAACCAACAGTGTCCATCGAGACCATAAAACGAAGCACCCCGAATACCAACTGATGTAATCACAATCAAGGCTGGTAAACCTGCAAAAGAATAAACATTATCAATCAGAACTGGAGAGCAGTGGACAGAATCTGTATGCTGTTTGGTAATATGATCGAGAAGAATATATACCCCATCCAACTAGATGAACCAGAAGATACCATCTTCGTCCATAATTCTTCTTAAACATATTCGTCAAGAGAAGACAAAGTAAAACTCCCTCACACAACATCCACATAAATAGTGCAAGGACAAAAAAATGAAGAAGAATTCCAATGGCAGTACAAGGAACCTATACGAACAACAAGGTGTTTATGATCATTTCAATGCAATCCTGTGTTTTCGCACGATTTTCATATCATATACCCACCTCATCGTCCTTGAAAGGTCCTCTCAAAACAGAAAATATATCCAGTAATGCAATCGCAGCGCAAAGGTTCATGAAGTTTACGAATCGTGGCGACCACAAAGCCTTCCAGTAATAAACATACACAATCATTGTCAAAATAATAGCTGCCAGCGAGATGGCAGATCCGACTGTTGATATGATTTCAAGTTTCGCTTGTTCTTCAGCGTCCTGGGAAAATGTATGAGAATAGCAAAAAAGAAAACCATTTAATACATATAAATATATAGCTCAAGCCATTAAATCTCATGTCGCTGAGATATGTTCATGCGAGTCTTACCATCTCTCCTTTACCACTTTCCACCATCACAGCAAACAGCGTCAAATGATCGCATTCACATGTTGTTACCTCTTTCGTGGTCTCGTTCCTAACCAGTCGGCAACCTTCGTCACCCCATCGGCTGTTGGCCTTTTCAGGTTGCCAAAACACACATTTTCTTTGATAACGTTCGTCGTTGGACTAAATGAAATAAACATGAGTAGACTCTAATTCTCTCTAGCGAGAACACCCATCCATTCAAGTACTCAAAGGATAGCTTCTTCTATACAACCTACCGTGCCATTATTCTCCAAAACAATTCTCACAGGTTGTTTAAATTTCGAAACACCTAAAGGCTTCACAGTGCTCGATATTATCCTCGAGTTTGAGAGAAGTTTGAGATGGCTGCTGCTTAAACTTCCAGACGTGGTGTTCACATCACCCAGAATGGATGCAAGTGTATTGTAGACCACACTGACCACTGTGACTGCTTCGCTGGTTGTCTGAAATCAATTTTGACAATTAATGGGTCGATTTATTACTTAAAAATGAATGATCTGAGGGAGGATTTTTTAAACCTGCTCCATCAAGCATGAAATATTAAACTTGGTAGAGCTGAGTCTTAATAAGATACCTGGTTGAACACAGCCTGCGGCAGAAAAATACGACTCTTATTCTGTTCAAAGACGAAGTCTCTTTTCCTTCGAAAACGACGCATTTGAAAAGCTAGATTCCTCTCCACACGGTTCTGAATGATATCACCATCTCCGGCAAAATCTTCTTCCAAATCAAAACCAAAATTATCCAGAGAGGTCACAAGATTGGCAGGCGTCTCTGGATTGTTCTGTGCAGAATTTGAGAAGGGGGTGAATCAGTATAACCAAGCTGATTCTATTATATTGCTAATTTATATCCCAGTTCAAAATAAAGACCACGGACATCGTCCTGACCTCTTCAATCTCCAACCAAGTTTCTTGATTCTCCAGGTCTAAAACATTGCTAGCAGTTTCTGTGTAGGATGAAAGGGTTTCTGTCGCCAGTGTCTTATTTCCTTTTTCTTTTTGAAAGAAGCTTTTCGTTCGTTGTAAGATGCCCACAGTTGCCAAAAGATCTTTCCCAAACAATCTCGCCGAGCCTTTCATGCCAGGTCGTGGCGGTTTCTTTGGACTCGTCAAGGATCTCAACTGATCTAACGCTTGTTTAATGTCCAAGTTTACTTTAAAACCTTCATCTAAGGCATCCAGCTATGCACGACAATGGAAAAACAAATGAAAACAGCTTAGTCGCCTTACCCGGGAGAGTATTATCGGTATTGTGACTGTGATGTATACACGATGATTCTAAGAAGCAAGCGAAGTAAGAATTGCGTTGATTCTTACCTGATCTTCCAGTGAAGAAAACGCAGGACTGCTGCAGTCTTTCAAGTTGGGTGCACGCCATCTTGGTGGTTGACCTGGAAAAGCTTCACAAACCCGTTTAGCCACACCTGTATTGAAAGACGAAAGCTTTAATCGTTTCTTTCACTGTTTTCAGAAACTTTTAGAAAGACTTCTGAACGATTTAGACAACGGAACTGAAACTTGCACCCACCTGAGTTTTCGTCACCTACTAAACATGACTTAGAATCCACCAATCCAAAGAGAGTTTCTTCCCATTGTATTCCTTCAGACGTTTCAGCCGGACAAGATCCCAGAGTCTCCGCTGACATCTGCAATCAAAAGTTGTGTTTGAAAACAACGGTGTTTGAAACCGTTCTCGCAGTGAAAACGAATGCGAATATAACCGTTCTCGCGTGAAAATGAGTGCGAACATGCACGAAAACGTTACCGTGTGCACATAACCTATATAAATATAGCATGTACATACCTGGTTTTGTAACCCGAATTCGCCCTATGGGACCACGAACAGTCACTCCTTTGTATGTGATTTGACAGTACATGTCATAAACATCATAGCTATCTTTCTCTGCGTGCAATCTCTCTGGGATCTTCCACCTAAATATTGCTTTGTTGTTGTCAATTTTTTTCCACGGTGCTTCTGGGAGCAACTTACGAAACCAAGAATATGTTGCATTCACCAAGCGGCCTTCGCTGTTTTCGCAAAACCATTCATAAATCCCGGTTTCTGTAAAACATTGCAGTTTTCATTAATAGCCCTAGTAACTGACATGATAAACACAGGAAAGTTTTGTGAAGATATGCAATGATGACGCCAAAGCGTTCAGGCGTATATGAGCAAGTAAACGTCGTATTTTTCGCTAGTGTATTTTTTCAATGGCGTTTTCTGCGGGTGTTCAAAGAAGAATTGAAATGAAGCTTGTTCACCTGTCGTAACTCGGGCATCTTTGGGCTTGATCTTAATCTTTAGTGGAGGGGTCACCTGCACAGCAAAACTTGGCGCCCATTTTGTACCGTTGGACAGGCTACGATAGAAGAGAAGCACAGTAAGGTAATGAAAGATAAAAAATCTTCACTACATGTGGTAAACAAACCGTCAAACAAGAAACTTTAATTAAGGCCGTTGCAAATGATGATCATGCTTAGAAAGAACGATTGTTTATGGTCGGTTTTGTAATTTTCACGCTAGGAAACTACGTCAATAGTAGAGCTTATGTAAATGTCAGAGATAACACATACGTTGCAGTACATCCGTAAATACCAGAATCCGATTTTCCAGCTTTTCGTATTTTAAGGTCAGAACTTCGGTCTTCACTTTGAATGAGAACTCTCTCGTTTTCATGAAGTGTAACGTTGTCAAAATTCCACAAGAAACGCACTGAATTTGTGATGTTGGCGATGCATTGTAGATGCAAGTGTTTACCATAACTATTTGCAATCACTTTAACTTTCACTAAAATGGGAGAGAGGTAAAGATGCAATGTATTTAAACAATTGAAAATCGAAACAATTGCATGTAATGTACGATAATGTCTCTTGCACAACGATACTCCGCGAGCGATGTTTTTTAAAAAAATTATTTCGTTTTAGGTTATTGCTTATCGTACTGTAGGATGGCCGTCATTTAATGCCAAGCAGAAAGCAGTAGAAAAATTACTGGACAAATGCCATAATTCATTATGCTAATGATTCCGGACGAGACCACTTCAGATGTATTTTCATTAAATCCTGATCTCCCTCTGCACACATTAACCTTTCATTTATATTTTACGTGGCGAAATGGTAAACAAGGAACAGGTACATGAAGTCAACCTTTCACGACGTGGCGACCAAACAAAACTTTATTTACATGACCGCATATTCTCTACATCGACCCGGAAAAAGTCCTTTTAATCTCTCTACTCAAAGTTTTAACAATCCTTGCCTTAAGGATATATTTTCCTCAGGACTGATAGTCAACTAGCCAAGGGAATTGTCAGGTGATGAAGTATCACTAAAACAACCCAAACAGGGACAGGAAAAGGAAGAATTTCTTTTTTTTAGTCAGATGGATCCAGTCGGATGGAATGCAATCGGGTTATACGAGATAATCAGTCTGGACTGTAAGATATTTGACATAACTGCAAGCCAGATTCCTATCGTATTGTTACTGTGACACAAGCGCAAACCATATTACTTTTACACCCGCATATATGTACCTGGTCCATCTTGAGATACAAACTCGTTCAAACGAGACAGCAATCTAGTTTCTTGTTCTCTCCTTTTCTTCCCCTTTGGTTTCATTTTGCACTCAATGAGCAGCAGAAAACCAACCAAAACGATAAAACTCAGCCTGATTCGTCTCATCGTCAATGAAATGTTGTTTATGTCTAAATAATTGTATAAATAAATTCAGAGCTTTATGTTTAATTTTCTTTTTAATACCTTTCACTTACAGGTGGTCAAGAACAATTATTTCCTCCAAATATAAATTTATTTATCACTAGTCCAATCTTTCTTCCCGGCGAGAGACGCAATTATTTCTGGTCATTTAAACATCATAAAAGCGGTATAGCTGATTAATTAGAAGATCTATATTCTACATGTTTATATGTAGTAGGAAAAGATGTTTTGCTCTTTTTGAAAACTTCACGAGACTCGTCAAGAATTCGAAAAATCATAAATCTCGTCCTTGTCTTCAGTCTCATCGCGTTGTTTTGCTAATCAATGACGGTCTTCAATTATCCTCTTTCATACAACTATTTTCACATATTATATACGAATTCAGTTATTCACAACCGCGGTGGATTTCAATGACAATTACCGGAGCAGGTTGACCGATTCCCTGTGATCTTATCTGGATGCCATAGCAATTAGCAAAAATTTTGTCTTGAAAGCATTCATTATCTCATAAATGGTTTCCTATATTAATTTCAGTATTTCGAAACAACTGCATGAATAATCTTTTTTTTCCCAATACCTAATTTGCTTTTTTGAGAAATTTGGACAAACTATTCGTATAATGAAAGAGATAACCGATATTTCTGCTTTATCAATTCCTCACATCTTTGCGAATTGTAATGCATGAATTATGTAAAAACTTTTCTTCAGTTAGACAAACACGTCAAAGAAATGACAAATATTTACATTGACTTCACCGCGACAACTGACATTAAAGTGTTCCGTGTATAACATGACGACAACAACACGCGAGCTGGGTGTTGATGATATTTTCACCACGATAATCCTACCTGGGTACACAGACTCGCAGAGCCATATATCTTAGTTATAATAAGGAGATTTTATGATATGATATAAAGCTATATATATTATTGCTTCAAACACATAATATAAGAATACGATATTGAGCGTGTGAAAATTTTTTGTTTCTTTTGAGAGTCAGTGTACTAAACACCATTAACCTGCATGCATATTTGATATTTCATCGGTCTAGATTTAGAGCTATGGCATGAATCCATCGTTACTCTGGAGGCTGTGCAGCACAATAGCTGTTTATGAAAAATATTATAAGCACATTTGCAAACTTGGTAAATTTAAAAGTCAACAAAACAAATGAGATTTTATATCGCAACGGACACAATATTTGAATGACTGTGAGCAAGAGAATTAGTTTTAGCCTTGAGGTAGTTTGGAACGTATATAGATAATATCTACTGTAGTTTGTATTGAGTTGCGATTTGGCTGCGATAACCGCAATACAAAAGTATGCAATAATCAAGAATACGATGCCACTTGTGAATCGAAGCGACAGATCAGTTGGATCTGTGTGTGATCACCACAAACCAAAGTAATGTATATAAAGTGGCATTGATATTGACCATATATTAGCTACGTAGGTGATAGATGACTTACACATCAAGAGAAATAATTAAAAAACGTATAGTCAATAGAAGTAAGGCCATTGATAAAATACATTGGTAAGCAAACCAGGAATAAGATGGCGTCCAGCAGAGAATCACGCTAACCTTTGCGATATTTGCTGTGGCTGAGATGATGAGAGTCCTTGTAGAAATATGAGTTATACGACCTTTATGGCCTTTGAAGTATAAACAAACGTGTTGCACCATCCGCGCGCGCAGTGTACCAACCGACAGGCAAATAGGTAGTGGTATCGGATATAATAACTCACAAAGATTTCTATTAACAATAGTTCTACATTATAATTTATTTAATGCCCCTAGGGCAATCCGTGCAGCTACAGTCTTAAGAATCTCGATCATACAGTGAGAATTTAGGTTAGAATTGCTGTTTTCAAACATATATCACGGTGATAAATATATCTAACATCGCTATAAATACAAAACTGGTCAGTTGTAGAGACATGTGTAATTTATTGGCGAAGGTAATTCAATTTGAAGCGAGATCAATTTTGAAAAGGCATTATTGCAGTATCTTGTTTACATGGCATGCATACATACCAGTACGATGTATTATAGCTCTGGTTCGCTGTCAAAAATACGTCTTCTGATACCACATAAATTTCATCAATCTCACAGTTTATGAAGGAATATTGCAATCGATTGTAACAAAAATGTTTTGATACCACGTATCCCACGAAACTTTCATAACTTATATACGATTCTGTCGATTCATAGCCAGACTCATTGAGCCTAATTGAACATAGCGTGGTGAGGTGATCGCTGTGACGTCATATGACGTAAGAAGAAAACAGGCCGGGGCACTGATACATAATAAAAAGTTTTCCGCCCATTTTGTCGGTTTTATTTCTTATTTTGAATTGAAAATACACAAATACGAGCTCTTTAGTAAATAGTAAAAAGTAGTCCTGTGGTTTGAACGTCAATAAATATTGGGCCAACTCTTCACCTTTTCTCTGTGGCTTATGGTGGGTGGTGATACCGTGACGGTGGTCAGTGGTTAACCTACTTGTGATGTCTTCCGGACAGACCAAAGTTGCATTCTTCAGTAAATCGACCATGGTCGAGTTCGCCGGAAAATGACGTATTCGACCATGGTTGAGTCCGCCGGAAAAGACTAAAATTTCTAAGAATATCAAATTTCTCGCTAAAATCACTTCAAAAACGTTCAGGCGTTTAAATCTTGACATTTCAAAGCGTGTGCATTATTAGTCGTTTTCTATGCATATACTTGTTAGAGACCGCCTCCCGAGACCAGGAAAAGCTTAAATACGTTAAATTTATCTTCGCTCTCAAGGCTTGCCACTGTAGCTGATTCGTCTATGACGCGCTAGGCGTGTGGCATACAGCCCACTCTGTTTCTCACTGAGACGTAACGGTTAGGTGCACATACATCATGGTCTGGGGGCCGTAGTGCATCTCCCCCTTAGACGGCCGTTAAGATGTGAGTTATGGGGGGGAGTTCTTCCTATAGCAACTGTCCTTGCACCTTTCGTAGTTGTAATCTATGCTGGTATATCGCAGCTGGTTGTAATATCACCGGTTAGATTGTGGCATAGAGCTGGATGATCTCTTTTGCGTGTTTTTACATTCTTTCCAACTTTTTTTTTTTGGCGTGCTTTCCAAATTTTTCTTTTACATACAAAAAAAATACTGGTATTAAACATGTATGGACCGGATATGGTTCGAAAAAAAAATTATAACGACTAAAAACCACCTTAATTACCCCTGAATACTCTCCCCAGTCTCTGCATCGCTGAATCTCTGAAAGAAACAATAGCAGAGATCATTCATAAACATCAAACATTTATTATCAGCATTTTCATTAACCTTACAGCAGTAAAACAGCAAAAAAGACATTCAGACAGTCAACTCTGCTTTCTCGTTAGTGCCTTCTCGTTAGTGCCTTTTCGTTAGTGCCTGTACACCGTTTTCCGGCGTTTTTGGTCGAGTCCGCCGGAAAATGGCGTATTCGACCATGGTCGAGTTCGCCGGAAAATGGCGTATTCGACCATGGTCGAGTGATTTTCACGGTGTTAGTCTTCCTAATAATCCCATGTTTTTGCTTTGTTCTCCTTGGAATGAGAACAACGAAGCAATGGCAATTTCTAAACAATTATTGTTTTTCTTCGGAAACGATGAATATTTCACTAAATATTTTATAAAACAAAAACAACCAACTAATTATTTCATTCGAAAGTCATCACTGGCGGGACGATTATTTTGAAATATGGCAACTAGCGTTTACTATTCTTTAACATCGTCCTAAATCCGAAATGATAACCAGATTTCAGGCAGCTGGTATAGCAATATTCTGATGTAATATGATATAAAGGTTATAGCATTTCTCCCCTTGGGTCATCTCTCATCACTTCACCCCGCGACACGTATTATGTCATTACACAACATTAAACAAATGATGAAAAACTAGGCCAGATTTAATCTTCAGCAGGCGAAAATATTTCCCCAAAATGTTGTGACAAGATATGCTAAAGAGTTGTTTTTTTTGGATCATATATATGCTATCGTTTCCACATTTTCATATCGCAGGGAATCAAATCACAGTTTTAAAGTGTGGATTAGATTTAATGAGCGTGTTACATAAGGTTTATCTCATTATGTTACGTTTTATCTCATCTTTTTTGTGACCTAACAGGCTAACACACGAGTTTCCATTTATCAACAATCGACGACGTCTGAATTTGATATCAGAAATCAGAATTGTTCTCATATTTTCCGTTTATGCCACGACAGGTGAAATGAGGTACTGTCGACATTTTTGTCTCGCGTCTGACCTTCTATAAACAACAGCGCCAGTCTCACGAATTGCAAAGCAAACACAGGAGTTATGCCTGGGAGAAGAAGGAATAAAACAATCACTATTGATTTGAAGTTATCCATTACGTTGCTACTTCTTGGAAAGCATATTATAGTAAATGTTTCTGGGTTTCCAAATCAATGTAGGAATCATCTTGAGCTCAAGAAAGGAAAACGTAACGTGAACAACAGTATACCTGCAAGATATTGGCAATGTGATAAAAAAATCTCAAAGAAAGCTTGGTATAGGTTCTCGGGTGATGCTGGGAATATAATAACTTCGATGGCGGTTACGCCAGGTATGTGTGGATCAACGAACCCTGGATGGTTGAATGGACAACATCCTTGTATGATGAATGAAACGAAAACCGGTGATGTATGCTTTGTTGATCAGCACGGTGATTGCGGAACACGAGTAGATATCTCGATAACACATTGCGGGGAGTTTTATGTGTATCAACTACCAAAGATGAAAAATTGTAGGAAGGGAATGGGATCATTCTGCGGAGAAACCAGCAAAATTCCCATCTCGTCCTGCAACACCACAAAAACATCAATATCAAGTTCCACTTCGACGACAAAGCAAAGTAAGTACATATGGTTACATTTTCGCTTATAAATGATGCAATTATTGTTACACTGAATATCCAATAGTACTTTCACACAGTATTTGTTTTGTAAAACCATCAAAGTTACATATTTTCCCTACTTGTTAAAGATATGGCCAACGAACTCTTTTTTTTTTACCTCCCCGTGTTATATAGAGATCCATTTATCTAAAAAATGTTCAAAGCAATCCGCCCCAAAATTGAACCGAAAGAAAGGTGATATAGATGTCACATCTAGGTCAAATTGTGTAGACGACTCTAACAACTAAGCTATTAGCCATTTTGGATTGTCCTGAAAAAAAGTCAGGCCTGGAACCCTCTGATCTTGTGTAGACCACCTACTGTCTTGAGCCAGGCTTCTGTCAAGCTCAGCCAGGTCAAGGTGTGCAAGACAAGGCTTAAACCAGGCTGCAGTTGAAGTCCTAGTCTAATTAGCTGTGTTTACAGCTACAGACCTAAATTAGGTTTAGTCCTGTCTTTGGCATTGATCTTCGTAGTGCAAGCTCACTTTGGAATGAGCTAAAATAAGACGTGTTGAATAAAGACATGTTACCTTCATATGAAGATAACTTATGCAAGAAAATTAAGAAAGAAAAGTTTAATTACAACGTTCACTTCACAAAGAAGTCTACGGCAAATAATTAACATAACGCCCACAGATTAAATGCAACAACAAATATCTCTTATCATCGATTTTCTGAAATGAAGTAAATGAAACGCACGTTTGCGTCAAGAATGCTCTCATTTCGCTTTGATTTTAGTTTCAGCCTTCTAAAACCCTCCTACACTGCATTACGCGCATGATAGACCTAAAAAGCTTTGTCCAAAAATTAAAAATTGCTATTACACTCCGAAAATCGTTATTAGATTCACTTTGGCGACTAATTACCAATAATATCAGTTTCCGTTTAAAAAAACAGACTATTGTTAAAAAAACCGGTATATATAAACACTGATGTCGCTAAAAAAATTATTTCCCACTTTAGAAACACGCTTACATTTTACATTTTTCCGGTTTCGTGTAAGAGTTTCGAAAAAAGATGTGACGACCTTTGCAAAACTATATCTTTCAGAAATTATAGTTCAGTCTTGAATTACTAGTTATAGCTTTGTTTAGATCTATTTTCCCGTGTTTAGATTTATTGGAAACTTCTCCTTCAGTTAAAATCGACCCAACTTTGTGTTTAATCATCACAAGTGATTCAACACGCTGGACATGGTGGGATTGGCCAGGAACAATCAAAGAGTTTTATCTTAGGTTGAGAGATAGAAACAATCCATCAGGGCAATCATCAACGTCTTTATGTTTACCTCCTTTATTTACCACAAGTCATGCTGACACAAGTCAAACGATCTCTTCAACAACAAGTGAATTCTTAACCATTTCGTCCATTGCAATTAAGACGGAACCAAGTCCAACCATTTCTTTCACTGCATTAAACTATTATTCAACTATTTCCATCGTTGTTAACAGACATGATCAAAGTTCAGATCATTTTCTTGACGCACGTAAAATTGATCTGGGTTCGACTTTCATAACAAGTAAAATCCATCAAAGTTTAACCATTGCTTTCATCTCATCAAGTACAACCGATCTAAGATCAACAATTTCACCCACTACAACGAAAGAGCATCGAAGTTCAATTTTTGATTCAACCGTATCTTTCACAACGAGTGAGGTAGATCCAACTTTAATCAGTTATTCCATCACGAGTGTCGATCTCAATCCAACCATTTCTTCAATCACAAACAGAGTCAAGCCAAGTTCAACCAATTCTTTTATCGCTCACAATATCTATAAAAGTTCAAACATTCCTCCAATCTCAAATAAAGTTGATCGAAGCATCACAATTTTAACCGCTACAAAGAAAGTCGATACAAGTTCAATCACTCCATGTGAAGTTGGTGCCACTATAATTTCTTCTTCTGTAGCAAGTAAAGTCGATCTAACTACAACTGTTTCTTCAATCACAAGTAAAGGAGTCAGTCAAAGTTTAGCCATTTCTTCCATTTCAAGTAAAGTTAATCCACGTTCAACTATATCTTCCATCACAACTACAATCGATCCAAATTCCACTACTTTTTCCATCACAAAAAAAGTCAAACGAAGCTCAGCAACTTCCTTGATTAAACACAACATTGTTCATCGTTCAAACATTGCTGCCATTATAAATACAGTTGATCCAAGCGCAACATCTTCATTCATCACAACGAAAGTTGATGAAAGTTCAACATTGTTTTATCCAAATTCAATCTATTCTTCCACAACAGCTAAAGTCAATTCAAGTCCAACCATTTCTTCCATCACAGCTAAAGTCGATCCATGTGCCACCATTTCTTCTATAAGTAGAGTTCATCCATGTGCCATTTCTCCCATTGCAAGTAAAGTTGATCGAAGTTCAACCTTATCATCCACCACAGGTAAACTCATTTCACATTCACCTCTTCCATCCATCGTAAGTAAGGTTGTAACGTTTGTAGACTTCTTTGAACACATATAAAGCTGATTCAAATTTTCATTCAACTTTTTTACCACAGGTGAAATCGAACAGCGTTCAACATTTCCAGCCGGTGATCAACGTTCAACCTTTGCTTTCACCAGAAGTGAAGGTTATCCAAAGTCAACATTTCCTTCAACCACAAGGAGCGTCAGAATCGAAAAACATTTGGCCAAACTGGAGAACGAGGCAAGAGAGTCTTATGTTGCTAACACTTATCATTATAATCAATATGAGGACAGGCCGGAAAACGTTTAGATATCTGTGCTGTGCTTAAATACCTTATTTCAATTTTCAGGCAGATAAACTTTATAGTAACACAATATCTGAAGCTTCTCGAAAGAAGATGGCGAAAAGGATTATCCACCAATTGTCAAACATAACATATCTTGAAATAACAAATGGAGGGGGAAATGAGAGAAAAGAAAGTGTTCTTGTTTATACAGTTACAATACTTCAAAAAATCGTTGATTTGAATATCTCTGATAGCAGCCTCGACGTTTTGGAACCTGCAAACTATGTGTTGCATAGCTCATATGCAAATTCCTGGAGACAAGTAAAGGTAAGTAATGATAGCATGATGAAACTGAAAACACAATCGAAATAGACCTCTAGCCCAGACCTCTCGTTTCTGTAAACGAATCTTGTACTGAGCGTATTAACTAGTGTGGTGTACTTTTAGATAAGAACGAAATTTTAAGGAGCTTTTCCTTTCAAAACTCTTAGTCGACAAGCTTTTTTTTAGGAGAAAAACACCATTCGTAAGATGATAATCACCTTGAAAAATTATGGTTTCCAGAATGGTGAGAACATCAAAAAGAATCCAAATGCTTCGAGTTTTTTTATATTCAAAAACCACTCGAATGTGCAGCTTTACGCGACGTATGCACAACACACAAGACGTTTGTCGAGAGAAGGAAGATCGTTCAAATTTCCGGATGCAACATTTAAACTCTCGTCTGATGCATTGCCTAAACATTCTGGCGCTTTGGTCGTTGTTATCTGGTTCAAAACTATGCATTCTTTCCTTAATGACGACATGCATAATCCAATGATTACGAGCAACATGATAAGTGCAAGTGTTAGACCTGAGCCAAGAACGAAGTTCAAACGACCTGTTCGCATCAGATGGGACATGAAGGAATTGGTAATCTTCCACTTGAAGTGAATTAAAGTTAGAAAAAGATAAGATATAAAATGATCACGGTAGCAAATAAAAACATGAAATTTGAAATCTTTCTCGGTTTTCAGAACGACTCAACAACGTGTGTTTACTGGAAACCAGAACGCAAAGAGAGTAATTGGGAAACAAGCGGATGTGTAAGAGTAAAAGAGAAAATGAAGAATAATCTTCTGATATGTGAATGTGATCATCTTACAGCTTTTGCTGCTATGGACATCTCGAGAGATGTGGTAAGGTTTGATATATTAAACAACAGAAATTACAGAACCGACCATGAATCACATCAGCATACTTCTTTCATTCTTTCAAGGAAAGCAAAGCTGAACGGCAAGCTTTGGAGGCGATATCGACTGTTGGATGTTCCTTGTCACTTCTTGCCATATTCTTGACAATTCTCGCGCACGTTTTGTTATGGAAAAAACTCCAGCAGAATTCAAAGAGCGAAATACCTTCACGAGTACTTATGCATCTTTGCGTAGCCATTGGAATGACTGATATCATGGCTATTTTAGCAGGGCCTGCCAGAAGTGATGAGGTAGACAGATACAGTACTCTAAGTCCTGACTCCTGAAACCTTGCTTGTCGTTCTAAATATAAAATCTATTACCAGATGCAGTTAGCAACATAGTGCTTTGCAAATGTTGAGTAATACCTACGTGAATGCACTCCTTTGTTCCTCTTTCAGACATTCTGCATTTCCGTGTCCATATTATTGTATTTCTTTGTGCTGGCTGCGTTTGGCTGGATGTTATGCGAAGGAGCGATTATCTATCTTCAACTTGTGAACGTCTACACTGGATTGGGCTTAGGAGGAAGACACATGAAAGTATTTTATATCATTGGTTGGGGTAAGTCACCGGAACTGATATTCATGCATCCCTTTATATATAGTATAAGTTGATTAAATATTAGTTGAAGGGAAGGAAAGGTTAGATTAGGGAAGAAAAGAAGAAACATTTGGTGATTTTTTAGACATGAATAACTCACAGCCTTGTTGTATTTTACATAAAATAGGTTTTCCAGTTGTTGTTGTGTCATTCTTGGTTGCTCTAAATAATCGGAAGGACTTTATTACTGAGCATGCATGCTGGTGTAATAATGATGGTGCATTGTTCTGGGTATTTGTTAGCACCATGATTTTAATTCTGCTGGTGAGTTCTGTTTTATTTTTTACTCATTTGAAATGGCTTTGAGGATGCATGAGAATCGAGGAGGAAGGAAGTATGAGGAAGGTTTTCAATCTAAACACAACTCAAAATAATGTATTGCATTGCTTTTAGATAAACTTTGTTATCTTCATTCTCGCGTTGCGGAGTGCCTTGTCCTCGAGCGAAGTGAGCACAACTCGCTCGCTAAGCAAACGAGTTGGTAGCAAGAACAGCATTAAAGCATCGGCCGGAGTAACATTGCGAAAAGCAAAACTTGGTCTCAAAGGCACAGCTATATTACTTCCATTACTTGGTCTGACGTGGGTATTTGGACTGTTGGTGTTTAATCGAGATACTATTGTGTTTAAGTATCTCTTTGCTATTTTCAACTCAATTCAAGGATTGATGATTTTCGTTTTTCATGTTTTAATCAATAGAAAGGTAGGACTACTGCTTTGGACTATAGTTTACTTACCTATACACTGGCCTCTCATATTAGTAGTGTGATTTAAGTAGTTCAATATTTCTCTTTTTTAAGATTCATGATGCAATCATTAAAGGAAAAAAAACATTTCACGCGACACACATCAATGTCACAGCTCTCAACAATAACACCTGTGAGTGATTTTTGAAAAGTTCGTTTACCATAGCTTGTCCTGCACAATACCAACATTAACAAGGCCGGTATTCTGAAAGATTACGCCTAATCTCGAAGTGTCATTTTTCGTTTTTCATGAGTTTAACCTTTTTCAGGTGGTACCCTTTCAACTAGTGACGAGAGAAGTCGAAGGAAGTCAAGTATTTCTGTCACTCCGGAATTTTTACAGAAAACATTAAGTCGACCTCTCGCAGTGAACAATACGTACACCATCAATAATAATAAGTACAAGAACAACATTAACTCAGAAAACGTTATTTTAGAAGATGTAGAACCTATGAAGGAGCTATAATGATCATATCCGGGTTGAATTTAATATTCAACAGCATTAGCACTTCAAGGCTTTGATTGGCAGAATTAGGTGCGATGTCAAAATCTTCAAAATCAAAACAAATTTTTGACATTGATTTAAAGCTCATGGCTAACATTGCATTGTTTGAGAGAGGTCGAAAAATTGACGCATCTCGATTTTACTTTCTGACATAACATAGTTCTTTATATATAAACTTATGAATTCTACTGTTCGTGAAATATGGGATACAAAAGTTACTTAATTGTGCACAATATTGGCGGATTTTAGTCATTTCACCACAACACTGTGTTGATTGCAAGGCAACAGCTTGCAGCGAAGCTTTGCTGATAAGAATATTTCATGAGATTATACATTTAAGGGGGCTTCCTCGTTGCTAGAAGGTCTGTCTGTTGAAGACGAATGCTCCTCAGAGCCTGCACTGTGGTAGCCCTTGCTGTCTGTTTCAAAAGCATCATTGTTCCTTTCAACAGGGTTTTCACGTCCTTCGGACACATTTGACAAGCTATTACCAGCTTCATCATCTCCTAATATGTAGAGAAGACATTAGGATGTACAAATGAACAGGCCAAATTTTTCTTTAACGAAGCCTTTACTCAACACAGTTGTCTTATACTGCATAAAACAGATTTAACTCAGTCCTACTGGGTACAGATAGGTGGCAATGACAATCTGGATTGATAAAATATCAATAAAAAATTATCAGGGCTGATTTGATCCGGCACTCGTTACATCACCAACCTTGAACGGGCGAAATGTTGTTTTCATTTTGATCATCATTTTCCTTCATTTCCTCTGCTACAGACACGTTGAAATTATTATAACCTCCGCTCTCAGAGGTCCAGTTGCTACTTTCCAACTGAAGTCTGGCATTTTGTCTCACCATCTTCTCGTTAATACCAGAATCGGAATTCTTCGTCGGTGAACTAGTTGAGTCTAAAAACAATTCAAGTTGAATGAATGAGGGAGAGAATATACGTAAAATGTCAAAACTGGACACACAGTTTCCTTACTCTTAGGTGCCTTTTTCATAGTCTTCTTGTCAAAACTAGTGGAGAATGTACTTCGTCTTATTGTACTGTTGCGGACAACATCTCGCATCTAAAATATAAAATTTTGGTGACTGGATAACTGGATCGGTCGACAACCATGCTTACGATGCAAGTACGTATCTTTTACCTGTTTATTTAGGACGCAATGGAAGAGGAAAATGAGCATGCCTTGTGCGGAGTTGAACACGGCAAAAAGATATCGGAAAATTAAAGTTTCTCTGTTGAATGTCATCAATCCAAACACCCAAGTTAAACCAAGAATTGGGAAAATGACAACAGCAGCTTTTACACCTGTTCTGACTTTAGTAATATTGTCCTGTGATTTCACTTTGTGAGATCGCATCATTGTTCGTAGGACCATGACAAATACGATAGTATTGGCCTAAAAAGTGGGAGAAAGAAGAAGGCATACATATATCCAGATAGCATTTTTTATATTGGTTGTAATCTATCGTATCTTAACAAGAATGAGATGCTTACCAATATAACAAGAAATGCTGGTCCAACAAACGCCCAAATCAAATTGTTGTCAATACTGAGCCAACACGAAGAGTCACTGCCATATCCTTCACCTTGAGTTGCTCCAAGTGACACGACAACAATGAGAAGAGGGATACCTGTAGAGATTTTTTACCTCTGCTTAATATTTTTCCCTTTCCTTGATCCAAAAATGAAAGAAGGGAATATGCCGAACTATGATACACACAACAGTGGCTCAATAAATGCCCTGAGTGTTTTGAATCAACTTTGTATTAGATGAACTCTTTCTTGCATTATGCAAGTTTGGCAGATCACTTACCCCAGCCGATGAAATTGAAGATTTTCCAATGTTTGCCACGTACTCCATCAAAGACCCTGATCAGCAAGATATACAGTAATATCCCCTCACACAACATCCATCCGAACGCAGAAAGCACGAAATAATGGAGAAGAGCGGCGACTGCTTTGCAAAAATTCTGTTGAAAGGAGAAATACACTATGTTTACATCCTTTGAACATACTCATCAAATGAACATACTAATTTACTCAGGTGCAAAGGACAGACTTACGGGACTATCTCTTGCAACGCCTTCAAGTATCGCGAAAATATCCGTGAAACCAATAGCCACACATAGACTGAGTAACACTTTAGCGCGAGGTGATTTTACTTGCTTCCAGAAGCAAACTTGCATGAGAGCTGTGAGGACAATCCCGAGCAACGATAGTGAACATCCTACGGTTGAAATCGTCTCCAATATTTTAAGTTCCTCCTCTGTTACCTGGAAGAGAAATCCTCATGATGTAATGGGCAATATTTACAAAGATACACGAGAATTTTCAAACTGATTTAAACAATGATGAAGATTTAAACAATGATTCTAAAGGTAGTGGTTTCTTCTGGTGTAATGGGCAATATTCACAAAAGTACACGAGAATTTTCAAACTGATTTAAACAATGATTCTGAAGGTAGTCGTATCCAGCTTACTTCTACTCCAGAGACATCCATCATGATGGCAAAGGCAGAGTTATGGTTACAATCACACGTCACATTTCTTTCGTTTGATTCTTCCTCGTTCAGTACACAACCTTCACTACTCCATTTACTGTTGTTAACGCTTGGTTCTGTGAACGCACACGTTCGTTTTGGATTCTTATAACCAGTCTAAAATGGTTGTATATGTTTTTCACTTGTATGAACACAATATTATTAACTCCTTGATTGTACAACTTGCATTGTATTGTGTATATCTTCATAGCCTACTCTCCAATTTTAATTTAATTTGTGATCTAATTGCTTCAATGTCAATACCTTTCACAAATATGTCTATATTAATTTGATTTTTAACTATATAACAACGAAGACCTGTTCGTACCTGGTTATTTTGAAGAATGATCTTAAAAGGCTCATCAAGCAATTCGGGCAGTCGTGGTTCTGTTGTGAAGGACATTACGGTACTTCTTATAGTCAGCGAATCACTCGATGTTATGCTGTCATCCACACTTTTCTCCAATTCATCCTCAGATAAAATTTCCTTAATTGAACTGTACTTTACCACCGTTGCTTGGGTGATGTTAGTTGTCACATTACCGGGAATAACAACGCCTTCGCCCACAGTATCCATTAAGTACAAGTCTTTAGGTTCGTCAGGTTTTACTGCAGATAATCGTATCCCACGGACGTCTATATTTGGGGTGGTATACGATACAACTTCTCCTGTTTTTCCACTTTGTGAAACGAAGTTTTTCGCATTTAGATCTGCACCACTAATAATCTTCTTAGCCAAACTATTTCTTGACTGTAATAAAAACACGTTTATAGTTAGGCTTTAGGGTAGGGCGAAAAGACTATATTCTCTTGAATAGCGAGTTTTCTGGTCACTGACATGATCTTTTACAGATGAGAATTTCGTTTCCCTGTTGGTGAAAGAATCTTGCTCATATTTTCCCCAAATATTCAAAAGTTTAATAAAATTAGGTTTAAAAATTCGATCCACCTGACTCTATTGCCAAAAAATATTTTAGTAAAAAAAACTCGTCTGATGCGGAATAAAATGTATTTCTTACCGGCACTTTCTTCCAAACATCTTTCCTTTCCGGATTAATGATATTACTTGATGAACGAATGAAATTCTCACGATCATTTTGGGTTTGGGTTTTCTGTTTTGTCTTCTCAAGAACATCGACGATGTCTTCCACGTCTTGAACAAAAAGATCATCTTCATTTGAAACATTTGTAGTCTCTTGAATTATATCGCTGATATCATCTGTTTTAAAGCCTTCGTCAAATAAGATGATCTGAAATTTAGTGAGATTTAGTTAGAACGAAGAAAAGGAATTCGTGATTCTGTATTATGAAATTCTTCGTCCTCAAATGGAGTTACCAGCAAAGCCACGACTCAAAAGGATAATGAAAACCACTTTAATTATCCTCAACAATATCATCGATTACCTTATCAAGGAGATCAATAACTTTATTATTTCTACAATTGTCTTGATTCACATCACCCCAGACGGGCTTGCCATTTGTGTTGCTGCAGGATCTGCGAACAGTTCCTGCAAAAAATATCATGTGGAAACCCACATAGTTACCACCTGATGCTACGTTACGCTGATTACGCTAATGCTTTATCCGGCAAAGATTCATCCTAGTTGTTCACGATATGATGGCCTCGATCTTTATTTAACCAAATCTCTCTAACCGAATCTTTCTAACCGAATCTCTTTCTCTAACATTTGCTCAGATCAACTAAAATAAACTATTTGGTTAGCATACCTGATGTCCCTTCAGGGCAATCTTTTAGAACTAAAGTACCAACAGTAGTCTTCTCCCAGTTGTAACCTCCCTTATTGTCACTGAAACAGAACTCGTCGAAATCTTAAAAGAAAGAAAGCAATGACAATCAAACTACTGCTTCAATGCCGTGTCGTACGCCAGGAGTTTAGGATGAAGAAATTTAATATATAGAATATTGAAAAGCCAACAAAAACAAACGGAACTTTCACCTTTGGAAACAATATTCACGCTAACGTCGTTACTCTTTTCACTTGTCCTGTAGGAATTCTTTGCGGTGCACCAGTATACTGCAGTGAAACTAGGTTCACTATCTGTCAATTTTTTACCAGATAAGTCCAATTCTTTGCTTTCAGCAATGACACCAGACTGTTTTGAATTGAACCATTTGATTTGTATATTTGGCTCATCGCCTTCAGTAACGTTGCATGTTAATTTTATTGGATCACCTGAATGCAAAAAAAATGAGTCTTCCGTTAGAGGATTTCAAAAAACACTTACGGCTGGTTAGACAACACTCTTGTTAAGGCTTGTTAGAGTCTTGTCAACGGTTTTTACAATCAAAAAGTGGCCCTTGCCTGAACTATAGAAAAACACATTTTAAAAGAAGTGATGCTAGTATACCGCACCTTCAGTCATAGAAACGGATAACGGTAATGCTTCAACAACAGGAATGATATTAACTTCTATCTGTACACTACTATTAATTGTATCTTTCCCTTTACTAGAAAATAAAAAAAGCTCAATAATTTCACTATATTAAGTTCGCCTGGTTTGTTTGAAGACGACGCTACGCTGCTTCTTGTTTGAAAAATTAAATCAACTCACTTAACAATACAGTAGTAAGTGCCGGAGTCTGATTTCTTTGTTTGGCGGACAGAAAGAATTGAAACTTTGTCGTTGGTTTCAATCTTCACTCTGTCTGATAAGGATAATATCGTATCATTGTGTCTCCATTCAAAGCTTGGTAATGATGGTCCACTAACGGTGCATGTTATTTCCAAGAGTTTACCAGCTTCACCACTGTACTTGACTTCCATTTTAATATCACTCAAAGCTTAGTAAATAAAAGAAATAATTTGTTGTTCAGTCTCGTTTAAGGACCATTAAGTAATTCTATTACTGAAAACACTACGACTAAGGTATTCTATATGTTTAAACATTCATTTATATCTATAAGAAAAAATATTATGAAAAATCACTCATGAGTTGCATAAAAAACGAAATTCAAACATACTTTATACCTTAAAGAAAGAAAGCAATGACAATCAAACAACTGCTTCAGTGCCGTTTCGTAACCAGGAGTTTAGGATGAAGAAGTTTAATATATATGAAAAGCCAACAAAAAATAAACAGAACTTTCACCTTTAGAAATATGTACGCTAACGTTGTTACTCTTCTCACTTGTCCTGTAGGAATTATTTGCGGTGCACCAGTATATTGCAGTAAAACTCGGATCTGACAGTTTTTTACCCGATAAGTCTAATTCTTTGCTTTCAGCAATGACACCAGACTGTTTTGAATTGAACCATTTGATTTGTATATTTGGCTCATCGCCTTTAGTAACGTTGCACGTTAATTTTATTGGATCACCTGAATGCAAGAAAAAAATGAGTCTGCCGTTAGAGGATATCAAGAAACACTTAAGGCTGGTTAGACAACACTCTTGTCAAGTAGACTCTTGTCAACAGTGTTTACCATCTAAAAGTGGCCCTTGCCTGAACTATAGAAAACACATTTTATAAGAAGTGATGCTGGTATACCGCACCTTCAGTCATGGCAACGGATAACGGTAATGCTTCAACAACAAGAATGACTTTAACTTCTATCTGTACACTGCTATTAATTGTATCTCTCCATTTACTAGAAAAGAAAATGTTCAATACTTTCACTGCATAAAGTTCGCCTGGATTTCATATTTACTATTTGATGGAAAGTTGTTTGAAGACGACGCTACGCTTCTTCCTGGTTGAAAAATTAAATCAACTCACTTAACAATACAGTAGTAAGTGCCGGAGTCTGATTTCTTTGTTTGGCGGACAGAAAGAATTGAAACTTTGTCGTTGGTTTCAATCTTCACTCTGTCTGATAAGGACAATATCGTATCATTGTGTCTCCATTCAAAGCTTGGTAATGATGGTCCACTAACGGTGCATGTTATTTCCAAGAGTTTACCAGCTTCACCACTGTACTTGACTTCCATTTTAATATTACTCAAAGCTTAGTAAATAAAAGAAATAATTTGTTGTTCAGTCGCGTTTAAGGACCGTCAAGATAGTCTATGTTTCACTTTTTGTTAAATTACCTGGTATATCCGTAGTGATATTAAATGAATCAGGTACGACTGTCAAGTTACCAAGATTCCCAGTCTTAACGATGTCGTCCAAAATAAGATTAATTTTTTCCAAGGAATCTGGCACCATAACGATTTCGACCTGACAAATCACACTTCCTTTACTTAAAAGACAAACATAAATCGTTGAGTAAATTTTAAAGCATTCATTTTGGACACGAGGCCACGTGGAGTTTCGCTAACAAGACCTACCTGAAACCAAGGACATTAGCTCGACGATATTCTGGCGTGTTAGCATATTCAGCATCAAACTGAGAACATAAGATAAAAAACAAGTTACCAAGAATACAAAGAACAGTGATGTTTACCCACTTCATCTACAAAGAATTGTAACACTTACATTTCTGGTAACAGTTTGTGCAAGAATTTTATAGTCTTCGGAGTTTTTATCGTTTAGTGATTCAGTGAACACTGCATTTTGTAGTTGGAATGTGATGTCAATGAACGTGTCGGGTAAGACTGCAAAAAAGTGATATTTTAATTCCAATTCGGGTTTCAAAATATGAGAAATAAGAATGGAAATCCAACGGGCACGTGGAAATCTTCAACGAAGATGCGGGAATAGAATTTTTGCACTAATTATAATAATAACAACCGCCTGGAAAAAAGCGTAGTGAGCACATTAGACAGTTATTCATGTCCAAAAGTACACTTACTTGTACACGATGATGATGACCCACCATAACCAACATTACAATCGCAACTATGAGAGCCTTGCTTGTTTACACATTTACTGTTCTCGGGACAAATGTCCGGATTATTAATACATTCATCGATATCTGAAAATAATGTGCTTAATTTTTCCTTATTATTTTAACATATACTGTGTCCAATTACATGTTCTTATTAGTAGCTTAATATTACCTTCACAAAAAGTCACTCCAGTATATCCTTGAAAACAGGAACATCGGTATGATCCAATACTGTCGATACATATTCCACCAACTCCACACGCAGTGCCAGTTGAACATTCATCAATGTCTAAAAGATTGATAAAAAATACCTATCATTAGAAAGCTGCCTGTAAGATTTGGTTGGCTCAAAGTTCCTGCAATATCACCCCTAATTTTTCTTGGAAAACGAAATCCAAACATACTTGTGCAAGTAAAACCATTTCCAGTGTAGCCATCATTACAACGACATTCAAAAGAACCAGGATTGTCAGTACATTTAGCGTTTACATGACATGGATTGCTTGAACATTCATCAATATCTAAAGGACAGGAAAACCTAAATTAATCATAGCATAATCTCACCCGAGTGAATTATATTTTGAAACAAAATAAAAAAATGTGTTTATGTTCATTTTGACAATTCGAAGTCCCAATTCACGTGAAGCCAGAGTTACATTTGTTAATTCAGAGTTACAAGTTGTTATTCACTTATTGAAATAGCAAATAAATGTCAAGCATCAGTTTATGAAAGATCATTATACTCACTGGAACAGTTCAGTCCATTTCCAGTATATCCGCCATTACAATGACATTCATAAGATCCTTGGTTGTCAGTACAGTTAGCATTTCTATCACATGGATCCATCTTACATTCGTCAATATCTATATATTTCAACTTATAGTTAGGTGAGGGATTTTAAGAAAATTACTACATATAAAATAATTGTACTCACTAGAGCAATTCAAACCATCTCCAGAAAATCCATCACGGCATTGGCATTGATAAGAACCCTCGTTGTCAGTACAAGTGGCATTTGCATCGCATGGGTTGTTTAAACATTCATCGATGTCTTAAAAACATAGTTTTAGGAATAAGAAAAAATCTAATGTTGGAAACATATTGGTAATGATTGCGCTTACTGGAACAATTGAATCCATTTCCTGAAAATCCAGCATTGCATTTACACTTATAAGAACCCTCGTTGTCAGTGCAACTGGCATTTGCATCGCATGGGTTAGTCAAACATTCATCGATGTCTTAAAAATACAGTTTTAAGAGTCAGAACAGGCTATTTGATTTCGGAAAAAATTTTAGTTAAGATTGTTCTTACTGGAACAATTGAATCCATTTCCTGAAAATCCACCATTGCATTGACACTTATAAGAACCCTCGTTGTCAGTACAACTGGCATTTGCATCGCATGGGTTGTTTAAACATTCATCGATGTCTTAAAATTACAGTTTAAGAGTAAGAATAGGATATTTGATGTTGGAAAAATTTTTAGTAAGGATTGTTCTTACTGGAACAGTTCAATCTATAGATTAATATTACCTTCACAAAATGTCAAGCATCAGTTTATGAAAGATCATTATACTCACTGGAACAGTTCAGTCCATTTCCAGTATATCCTTGAAAACAGGAACATCGGTATGATCCAATACTGTCGATACATATTCCACCAGCTCCACACGCAGTGCCAATTGAACATTCATTAATGTCTAAAGGATTGATAAAAATACCTTTCATTAGAAAGCTGCCAGTGAGATTTGGTTGGCTCAATGTTCCTGCAATATCACCTAATGTTTCTTGGAAAAAAAATCCAAACATACTTGTGCAAGTAAAACCATTTCCAGTGTAGCCATCATTACAACGACATTCATAGGAACCAGGATTGTCAGTACATTTAGCGTTTACATCACATGGATCGCTTGAACATTCATCAATATCTAAAGGACAGGAAAACCTAAATTAATCATAACATAATCTCACCCCAGTGAATTATATTTTGAAAACAAAATAAAAAAATGTGTTCATGTTCTTTTTGACAATTCGAAGTCCCAATTCACGTGAAGCCAGAGTTACATTTGTTAATTCAGAGTTACAAGTTGTTATTCACTTATTGAAATAGCAAATAAATGTCAAGCATCAGTTTATGAAAGATCATTATACTCACTGGAACAGTTCAGTCCATTTCCAGTATATCCGCCATTACAATGACATTCATAAGATCCTTGGTTGTCAGTACAGTTAGCATTTCTATCACATGGATCCATCTTACATTCGTCAATATCTATATATTTCAACTTATAGTTAGGTGAGGGATTTTAAGAAAATTACTACATATAAAATAATTGTACTCACTAGAGCAATTCAAACCATCTCCAGAAAATCCATCACGGCATTGGCATTGATAAGAACCCTCGTTGTCAGTACAAGTGGCATTTGCATCGCATGGGTTGTTTAAACATTCATCGATGTCTTAAAAACATAGTTTTAGGAATAAGAAAAAATCTAATGTTGGAAACATATTGGTAATGATTGCGCTTACTGGAACAATTGAATCCATTTCCTGAAAATCCAGCATTGCATTTACACTTATAAGAACCCTCGTTGTCAGTGCAACTGGCATTTGCATCGCATGGGTTAGTCAAACATTCATCGATGTCTTAAAAATACAGTTTTAAGAGTCAGAACAGGCTATTTGATTTCGGAAAAAATTTTAGTTAAGATTGTTCTTACTGGAACAATTGAATCCATTTCCTGAAAATCCACCATTGCATTGACACTTATAAGAACCCTCGTTGTCAGTACAACTGGCATTTGCATCGCATGGGTTGTTTAAACATTCATCGATGTCTTAAAATTACAGTTTAAGAGTAAGAATAGGATATTTGATGTTGGAAAAATTTTAGTAAGGATTGTTCTTACTGGAACAGTTCAATCTATAGATTAATATTACCTTCACAAAATGTCAAGCATCAGTTTATGAAAGATCATTATACTCACTGGAACAGTTCAGTCCATTTCCAGTATATCCTTGAAAACAGGAACATCGGTATGATCCAATACTGTCGATACATATTCCACCAGCTCCACACGCAGTGCCAATTGAACATTCATTAATGTCTAAAGGATTGATAAAAATACCTTTCATTAGAAAGCTGCCAGTGAGATTTGGTTGGCTCAATGTTCCTGCAATATCACCTAATGTTTCTTGGAAAAAAAATCCAAACATACTTGTGCAAGTAAAACCATTTCCAGTGTAGCCATCATTACAACGACATTCATAGGAACCAGGATTGTCAGTACATTTAGCGTTTACATCACATGGATCGCTTGAACATTCATCAATATCTAAAGGACAGGAAAACCTAAATTAATCATAACATAATCTCACCCCAGTGAATTATATTTTGAAAACAAAATAAAAAAATGTGTTCATGTTCTTTTTGACAATTCGAAGTCCCAATTCACGTGAAGCCAGAGTTACATTTGTTAATTCAGAGTTACGAGTTGTTATTCACTTATTGAAATAACAATCAAATATCAAGCATCAGTTTACGAAAGATCATTATACTTACTGGAACAGTTCAGTCCATTTCCAGTATATCCGTCATTACAATGACATTCATAAGATCCTTGGTTGTCAGTACAGTTAGCATTTCTACCACATGGATCCATCTTACATTCGTCAATATCTATATGTTTCAACTTATAGTTAGGTGAGGGATTTTAAGAAAATTACTACATATAAAATAATTGTACTCACTAGAGCAATTCAAGCCATCTCCAGAAAATCCATCACGGCATTGGCATTGATAAGAACCCTCGTTGTCAGTACAAGTGGCATTTGCATCGCATGGGTTGTTTAAACATTCATCGATGTCTTAAAAACATAGTTTTAAAAATAAAAAAAAATATCTAATGTTGGAAACATGTTGGTAATGATTGCGCTTACTGGAACAGTTAAATCCATTTCCTGAAAATCCACTATTGCACTGACACTGATAAGAACCCTCGTTGTCAGTACAAGTGGAATTTGCATCGCATGGGTTAGTCAAACATTCATTGATGTCTTAAAAACACAGTTTTAGGAGTAAGAATAGGATATTTGATGTTAGGAACATTGTTAGTAAAAATTGTTCTTACTGGAACAGTTGAATCCATTTCCTGAAAATCCACCATTGCACTGACACTGATAAGAACCCTCGTTGTCAGTACAAGTTGCATTTGCATTGCATGGGTTAGTCAAACATTCATTGATGTCTTAAAAATACAGTTTTAAGAGTAAGATCAGGATATTTGATCTTGGAAACATTGTTAGTAAAGATTTTCTTACTGGAACAGTTGAATCCATTTCCTGAAAATCCACCATTGCATTCACACTGATAAGAACCCTCGTTGTCAGTACAAGTGGCATTTGCATCGCATGCGTTAGTCAAACATTCATCAATGTCTTAAAAATACAGTTTTAAGAGTAAGAATAGGATATTTGATGTTGCAAAAATTTTTAGTAAAGATTGTTCTTACTGGAACAGTTGATCAATCTATAGATTAATATTACCTTCACAAAGTGTGAAACATCAGTTTATGAAAGATATCAGTATACTCACTGGAACAGTTCAGTCCATTTCCAGTATATCCGTTATTACAATGACAGTCATAAGATCCTTTGTTGTCAGTACAGTTAGCATTTCTACCACATGGATCCATCTTACATTCGTCAATATCTATATGTTTTAACTTATAGTTATAAAAAGGTGAGGAATTTTAAGAAAATTAGTACATATAAAATAATTGTACTCACTAGAGCAATTCAAGCCATCTCCAGAAAATCCATCACTGCATTGGCATTGATAAGAACCCTCGTTGTCAGTACAAGTGGCATTTGCATCGCATGGGTCAGTCAAACATTCATCAATGTCTTTAAAATTTAGTTTTAAGAGCATGAATAGCCGGATATTTAACGTTGGAAACATGATAGTAAAGATTGTTCTTACTTGAACAATTGAATCCATTTCCTGAAAATCCACCATTGCATTGACACTGATAAGAACCCTCGTTGTCAGTACAAGTGGCATTTGCATCGCATGGGTTAGTCAAACATTCGTCAATGTCTTAAATATAGAGTTTTAAGAGTAAGAATAGGCCATTTAATGTCGGAAATATGTTTGTAAAGATTGTTCTTACTGGAACAGTTGAATCCATTTCCTGAAAATCCAACATTACATCGACACTCATAAGAACCCTCGTTGTCAGTACAAGTGGCATTTGTATCGCATGGGTTAATCAAACATTCATCAATGTCTTAAAAATTTAGTTTTAAGAATAAGAACAGCCGGATATAAAAGGTTGGAAAACTGTTAGTAAAGATTATTCTTACTGGAGCAATTGAATCCATTTCCTGAAAATCCATCATTGCATTGACACTGATAAGAACCCTCGTTGTCAGTACAAGTGGCGTTTGCATCGCATGGGTTAGTCAAACATTCGTCAATGTCTTAGAAATAGAGTTTTAAGAGTAAGAATAGGCAATTTAATATTGAAAAGATGTTATTAGTAAAGATTTTTCTTACTAGAACAGTTGAATCCATTTCCTGAAAATCCATCATTACATTGACACTGATAAGAACCCTCGTTGTCAGTACAAGTGGCATTTGCATCGCATGGGTTAGTCAAACATTCATCAATGTCTTAAAAATAGAGTTTTTAGAGTAATTACAGGATATTTAATGTTGGAAACATGTTAGTAAAGATTGTTCTTACTGGAACAGTTGAATCCATTTCCTGAAAATCCACCATTACATTGACACTGATAAGAACCCTCGTTGTCAGTACAAGTGGCATTTGCATCGCATGGGTTAGTCAAACATTCATCAATGTCTGGAAACATTCACAATTCAGTGTTAAAGATTTAACAACTGATAGAAACGGGCGAAATATATGAAAAATTTTACCCACTTGAACAATTAAATCCATCCCCAGTATATCCAGCACGACACTGGCAGTCATAGGAACCATCATTGTCAAAACAATCAGCATTTGCATGGCATACATGTTTGCTGGTCAAACATTCATTTACATCTGGAAAAATAATAGCGTTAATGTTATAAAATTATTAATTATTTGTTTATACTTATGGTACAATTTACTCACTTGAACAATTCAATCCATTTCCAGAATATCCAAGATCACATTGACAATCATATGAACCATTACTGTCAGTACACTTGGCATTACCATCGCATGGTCGTGTCAGGCATTCGTCTATGTCTGCAAATAGAAAAAATGATCAATTGAACTGAATTCTTCTCTTTAAAAAAATAATGAGCATAATATTATATATTTTACTTTCACAAACAGTTCCATTTCCACTAAATCCAGATTTACAACGACAGGTGTACGATCCATGGGAATCCAGGCAATCTGCGTTAGCATCGCATAAAATTTTTAAGCACTCATCAATATCTGAAAGAGATGAAACATATTTCGTGGAGATTGTTCAAAGGAAAACTCTACCATTCTTTTCAATGCTTACTTGCACAATTTGAAATTCCATCCCCTGTGTAGCCAACATTGCACAGGCATTCATAAGAACCTTGATTGTCAGCACAGCTTGCATTAGCATGACACGGGTCAGCTAAACATTCATCAATGTCTATAAATATTCATAATTTCAAATTAGAAAAAAGTAACATAATTAAAACGGGCAAAATAATATTGCAAATATACATTAGATTGTTCTAACTAGAACAGTTGAATCCATTTCCTGAAAATCCAACATTACATCCACACTCATAAGAACCCTCGTTGTCAGTACAACTGGCATTTGCATCGCATGGGTTAGTCAAACATTCATTCATGTCTTTAAAACAAAGTTTTAAGAGTAAGAATAGGATATTTGATGTTGGATACATCTTAGCAAAGATTGGTCTTACTGGAACAGTTGAATCCATTTCCCGAAAATCCACCATTGCATCGACACTTATAAGAACCCTCGTTGTCAGTACAAGTGGCATATGCATCGCATGGGTTAGTCAAACATTCATCAATGTCTTAAAAACATAGTTTTAAGAGTAAGAATACGATATTTGACGTTGGAAACATTCTTAGTAAAGATTGTTCTTACTGGAACAGTTGAATCCATTTCCTGAAAGTCCAGCATTGCATTGACACTGATAAGAACCTTCATTGTCAGTACAAGTGGCATTTGCATCGCATGGGTTAGTCAAACATTCATTCATGTCTTAAAAATACAGTTTTAAGAGTAAGAACAGGATATTTGATGTTGGAGACATGTTAATAACGCTTGTTCTTACTGGAACAATTGAATCCATTTCCTGTAAATCCACCATTGCATTGACACTGATAAGAACCCTCGTTGTCAGTACAAGTGGCATTTGCATCGCACGGGTTAGTCATACATTCATCAATGTCTTTAAAACAAAGTTTTAAGAGTAAGAATAGGATATTTGATGTTCGAAACGAATTATTTGATGTTAGTAAAGATTGTTCTTACTGGAACAGTTGAATCCATTTCCTGTAAATCCAGCATTGCATTGACACTGATAAGAACCCTCGTTGTCAGTACAAGTGGCATTTGCATCGCACGGGTTAGTCAAACATTCATTCATGTCTTAAAAATACAGTTTTAAGAGTAAGAACAGGATATTTGATATTGGAGACATGTTAATAACGCTTGTTCTTACTGGAACAGTTGACTCCATTTCCTGAAAATCCACCATCGCATTGACACTGATAAGAACCCTCGTTGTCAGTACAAGTAGAATTTGCATGGCATGGGTTAGTCAAACATTCATCAATGTCTTAAAAACATAGTTTTAAGAGTAAGAATACGATATTTGACGTTGGAAACATTCTTAGTAAAGATTGTTCTTACTGGAACAGTTGAATCCATTTCCTGAAAGTCCAGCATTGCATTGACACTGATAAGAACCTTCGTTGTCAGTACAAGTGGCATTTGCATCGCATGGGTTAGTCAAACATTCATTCATGTCTTAAAAATACAGTTTTAAGAGTAAGAACAGGATATTTGATGTTGGAGACATGTTAATAACGCTTGTTCTTACTGGAACAATTGAATCCATTTCCTGTAAATCCACCATTGCATTGACACTGATAAGAACCCTCGTTGTCAGTACAAGTGGCATTTGCATCGCACGGGTTAGTCATACATTCATCAATGTCTTTAAAACAAAGTTTTAAGAGTAAGAATAGGATATTTGATGTTGGAAACGAATTATTTGATGCTAGTAACGATTCTTCTTACTGGAACAGTTGAATCCATTTCCTGAAAATCCACCATTGCATTGACACTGATAAGAACCCTCGTTGTCAGTACAAGTGGCATTTGCATCGCACGGGTTAGTCATACACTCATCAATGTCTTTAAAACAAAGTTTTAAGAGTAAGAATAGGATATTTGATGTTGGAAACGAATTATTTGATGTTAGTAAAGATTGTTCTTACTGGAACAGTTGAATCCATTTCCTGTAAATCCAGCATTGCATTGACACTGATAAGAACCCTCGTTGTCAGTACAAGTTGCATTTGCATCGCATGGGTTAGTCAAACATTCATTCATGTCTTAAAAATACAGTTTTAAGAGTAAGAACAGGATATTTGATGTTGGAGACATGTTAATAACGCTTGTTCTTACTGGAACAGTTGACTCCATTTCCTGTAAATCCAGCATTCGCATTGACACTGATAAGAACCCTCGTTGTCAGTACAAGTGGCATTTGCATGGCACGGGTTAGTTAACATTCATCAATGTCTTTAAACAAAGTTTTAACAGTAAGAATAGGATATTTGATGTTGAAACGAATTATTTGATGTTACGTAAAGATTCTTCTTACTGGAACAGTGGAATCCATTTCCTGAAAATCCACCATTGCATTGACACTGATAAGAACCCTCGCTGTCAGTACAAGTGGCATTTGCATGGCATGGGTTAGTCAAACATTCATTGATGTCTTAAAAATACAGTTTTAAGAGTAAGAACAGGATATTTGATGTTGGAAAGATGTTAGTAAAGCTTTTCTTACTGGAACAATTGAATCCATTTCCTGTAAATCCACCATTGCATTGACACTGATAAGAACCCTCGTTGTCAGTACAAGTTGCATTTGCATCGCATGGGTTAGTCAAAACATTCATCAATGTCTTAAAAACAGTTTTAAGAGTAAGAATACGATATTTGGTTGGAACATGTTATAATGTTCTTACTGGAACAGTTGATCCATTTCCTGAAAATCCACCATTGCATTGACACTGATAAGAACCCTCGTTGTCAGTACAAGTGGCATTTGCATGGCATGGGTTAGTAAACATTCATCAATGTCTTAAAACAAATTTTAACAGTAAGAACAGGATATTTGATGTTGGACATGTTTAAAGCTTCTTCTTACTGGAACAGTGAATCCATTTCCTGAAAATCCACCATTGCATTGACACTGATAAGAACCCGCGTTGTCAGTACAAGTGGCATTTGCATCGCATGGGTTAGTCAAACATTCATGATGTCTTAAAAAAAAGTTTTAACAGTAAGAATAGGATATTTGATGTTGGAAAGATTGTTAGTAAGATTCTTCTTACTGGAACAGTTGAATCCATTTCCTGAAAATCCACCATTGCATTGACACTGATAAGAACCCTCGTTGTCAGTACAAGTGCATTTGCATCGCATGGGTTAGTCAACATTCATCATGTCTTAAAAAACAGTTTTAAGAGTAAGAACAGGATATTTGATATTGGAGACATGTTTAAAACGTTCTTCTTACTGGAACAGTTGACTCCATTTCCTGAAAATCCACCATCACATTGACACTGATAAGAACCCTCGTTGTCAGTACAAGTGGCATTTGCATGGCATGGGTTAGTCAAACATTCATTGATGTCTTAAAAACACAGTTTTAACAGTAAGAACAGGATATTTGATGTTGGAAAGATTGTTAGTAAAGATTGTTCTTACTGGAACAGTTGAATCCATTTCCTGTAAATCCACCAATGCATTGACACTGATAAGAACCCTCGTTGTCAGTACAAGTTGCATTTGCATCGCATGGGTTAGTAAACATTCATCAATGTCTTAAAAACAGTTTTAAGAGTAAGAACAGGATATTTGATTGGACGAATATTGATGTTTAAAACGCTTGTTCTTACTGGAACATTTGACTCCATTTCCTGAAAATCCACCATCGCATTGACACTGATAAGAACCCTCGTTGTCAGTACAAGTGGCATTTGCATGGCATGGGTTAGTCAAACATTCATTGATGTCTTAAAAATACAGTTTTAACAGTAAGAACAGGATATTGATGTTGGAAAGATTGTTAGTAAAGATTGTTTTTACTGGAACAGTTGAATCCATTTCCTGAAAATCCACATTGCATCCACACTATAAGAACCTCGTTGTCAGTACAAATTGCATTTGCATCGCATGGGTTAGTACACATTCGTCAATGTCTTTAAAACAAATTTTAACAGTAAGAATACGATATTTGATGTTGGAAACGAATTATTTGATGTTAGTAAAGATTCTTCTTACTGGAACAGTTGAATCCATTTCCTGAAAATCCAGCATTGCATTGACACTGATAAGAACCCTCGTTGTCAGTACAAGTGGCATTTGCATCGCATGGGTTAGTCAACATTCATCATGTCTTAAAACAAGTTTTAAGAGTAAGAATAGGATATTTCATGTTGGAAGATTGTTAGTAAAGATTGTTCTTACTGGAACAGTTGAATCCATTTCCTGAAAATCCACCATTGCATTGACACTGATAAGAACCCTCGTTGTCAGTACAAGTTGCATTTGCATCGCATGGGTTAGCCAAACATTCATGATGTCTTAAAACACGTTTTAAAGTAAGAACAGGATATTTGATGTTGGAAAGATTGTTAGTAAAGATTGTTCTTACTGGAACAGTTGAATCCATTTCCTGAAAATCCACCATTGCATTGACACTGATAAGAACCCTCGTTGTCAGTACAAGTTGCATTTGCATCGCATGGGTTAGTCAAACATTCATTGATGTCTTAAAAATACAGTTTTAACAGTAAGAACAGGATATTTGATGTTGGAAAGATTGTTAGTAAAGATTCTTCTTACTGGAACAGTTGAATCCATTTCCTGAAAATCCACCATTACATTGACACTGATAAGAACCCTCGTTGTCAATACAAGTGGCATTTGCATCGCATGGGTTAGTCATACATTCATCAATGTCTTTAAAACAAAGTTTTAAGAGTAAGAATAGGATATTTGATGTTGGAAACGAATTATTTGATGTTAGTAAAGATTCTTCTTACTGGAACAGTTGAATCCATTTCCTGAAAATCCACCATTGCATTGACACTGATAAGAACCCTCGTTGTCAGTACAAGTTGCATTTGCATCGCATGGGTTAGTCAACATTCATTCATGTCTTAAAATACAGTTTTAAGAGTAAGAACAGGATATTTGATGTTGGGACATGTAAATAACGCTTGTTCTTACTGGAACAGTTGATCCATTTCCTGAAAATCCACCATTGCATTGACACTGATAAGAACCCTCGTTGTCAGTACAAGTGGCATTTGCATCGCATGGGTTAGTCATACATTCATCATGTCTTTAAAAACAAATTTTAAAAGTAAGATATGATATTTGATGTTGGAACGGATTTTGATGTTATAAGCTTGTTCTTACTGGAACAGTTGAATCCATTTCCTGAAAATCCACCATTGCATTGACACTGATAAGAACCCTCGTTGTCAGTACAAGTGGCATTTGCATCGCATGGGTTAGTCATACATTCATCAATGTCTTTAAAACAAAGTTTTAACAATAAGTATAGGATATTTGATGTTGGAAACGAATTATTTGATGTTGGTAAAGATTCTTCTTACTGGAACAGTTGAATCCATTTCCTGTAAAACCAGCATTGCATTGACACTGATAAGAACCCTCGTTGTCAGTACAAGTGGCATTTGCATAGCATGGGTTAGTCAAACATTCATCAATGTCTTTAAAACACAGTTTCAAGAGTAAGAATAGGATATTTGATGTTGGAGAAATGTTAATAAAGATTGTTCTTACTGGAACAGTTGAATCCATTTCCTGTAAATCCACCATTGCATTGACACTGATAAGAACCCTCGTTGTCAGTACAAGTGGCATTTGCATCGCATGGGTTAGTCATACATTCATCAATGTCTTTAAAACAAAGTTTTAAGAGTAAGAATAGGATATTTCATGTTGGAAAGATTGTTAGTAAAGATTGTTCTTACTGGAACAGTTGAATCCATTTCCTGAAAATCCACCATTGCATTGACACTGATAAGAACCCTCGTTGTCAGTACAAGTTGCATTTGCATCGCATGGGTTAGCCAAACATTTATTGATGTCTTAAAAACACAGTTTTAACAGTAAGAACAGGATATTTGATGTTGGAAAGATTGTTAGTAACGCTTGTTCTTACTGGAACAGTTGAATCCATTTCCTGAAAATCCACCATCGCATTGACACTGATAAGAACCCTCGTTGTCAGTACAAGTGGCATTTGCATGGCATGGGTTAGTTAAACATTCATCAATGTCTTTAAAACAAAATTTTAACAGTAAGAATAGGATATTTGATGTTGGAAACGAATTATTTGATGTTGGTAAAGATTCTTCTTACTGGAACAGTGGAATCCATTTCCTGAAAATCCACCATTGCATTGACACTGATAAGAACCCTCGCTGTCAGTACAAGTGGCATTTGCATGGCATGGGTTAGTCAAACATTCATTGATGTCTTAAAAATACAGTTTTAACAGTAAGAACAGGATATTTGATGTTGGAAACATGTTAATAACGCTTGTTCTTACTGGAACAGTTGACTCCATTTCCTGAAAATCCACCATCACATTGACACTGATAAGAACCCTCGTTGTCAGTACAAGTGGCATTTGCATGGCATGGGTTAGTCAAACATTCATTGATGTCTTAAAAACACAGTTTTAACAGTAAGAACAGGATATTTGATGTTGGAAAGATTGTTAGTAAAGATTGTTCTTACTGGAACAGTTGAATCCATTTCCTGTAAATCCACCATTGCATTGACACTGATAAGAACCCTCGTTGTCAGTACAAGTTGCACTTGCATCGCATGGGTTAGTCAAACATTCATTCATGTCTTAAAAATACAGTTTTAAGAGTAAGAACAGGATATTTGATATTGGAGACATGTTAATAACGCTTGTTCTTACTGGAACATTTGACTCCATTTCCTGAAAATCCACCATCGCATTGACAGTGATAAGAACCCTCGTTGTCAGTACAAGTGGCATTTGCATGGCATGGGTTAGTCAAACATTCATTGATGTCTTAAAAATACAGTTTTAACAGTAAGAACAGGATATTTGATGTTGGAAAGATTGTTAGTAAAGATTGTTTTTACTGGAACAGTTGAATCCATTTCCTGAAAATCCAACATTGCATCCACACTTATAAGAACCCTCGTTGTCAGTACAAATTGCATTTGCATCGCATGGGTTAGTTACACATTCGTCAATGTCTTTAAAACAAAATTTTAACAGTAAGAATACGATATTTGATGTTGGAAACGAATTATTTGATGTTAGTAAAGATTCTTCTTACTGGAACAGTTGAATCCATTTCCTGAAAATCCAGCATTGCATTGACACTGATAAGAACCCTCGTTGTCAGTACAAGTGGCATTTGCATCGCATGGGTTAGTCATACATTCATCAATGTCTTTAAAACAAAGTTTTAAGAGTAAGAATAGGATATTTCATGTTGGAAAGATTGTTAGTAAAGATTGTTCTTACTGGAACAGTTGAATCCATTTCCTGAAAATCCACCATTGCATTGACACTGATAAGAACCCTCGTTGTCAGTACAAGTTGCATTTGCATCGCATGGGTTAGCCAAACATTCATTGATGTCTTAAAAACACAGTTTTAACAGTAAGAACAGGATATTTGATGTTGGAAAGATTGTTAGTAAAGATTGTTCTTACTGGAACAGTTGAATCCATTTCCTGAAAATCCACCATTGCATTGACACTGATAAGAACCCTCGTTGTCAGTACAAGTTGCATTTGCATCGCATGGGTTAGTCAAACATTCATTGATGTCTTAAAAATACAGTTTTAACAGTAAGAACAGGATATTTGATGTTGGAAAGATTGTTAGTAAAGATTCTTCTTACTGGAACAGTTGAATCCATTTCCTGAAAATCCACCATTACATTGACACTGATAAGAACCCTCGTTGTCAATACAAGTGGCATTTGCATCGCATGGGTTAGTCATACATTCATCAATGTCTTTAAAACAAAGTTTTAAGAGTAAGAATAGGATATTTGATGTTGGAAACGAATTATTTGATGTTAGTAAAGATTCTTCTTACTGGAACAGTTGAATCCATTTCCTGAAAATCCACCATTGCATTGACACTGATAAGAACCCTCGTTGTCAGTACAAGTTGCATTTGCATCGCATGGGTTAGTCAAACATTCATTCATGTCTTAAAAATACAGTTTTAAGAGTAAGAACAGGATATTTGATGTTGGAGACATGTAAATAACGCTTGTTCTTACTGGAACAGTTGACTCCATTTCCTGAAAATCCACCATTGCATTGACACTGATAAGAACCCTCGTTGTCAGTACAAGTGGCATTTGCATCGCATGGGTTAGTCATACATTCATCAATGTCTTTAAAACAAATTTTTAAAAGTAAGAATATGATATTTGATGTTGGAAACGGATTATTTGATGTTAGTAAAGCTTGTTCTTACTGGAACAGTTGAATCCATTTCCTGAAAATCCACCATTGCATTGACACTGATAAGAACCCTCGTTGTCAGTACAAGTGGCATTTGCATCGCATGGGTTAGTCATACATTCATCAATGTCTTTAAAACAAAGTTTTAACAATAAGTATAGGATATTTGATGTTGGAAACGAATTATTTGATATTGGTAAAGATTCTTCTTACTGGAACAGTTGAATCCATTTCCTGTAAAACCAGCATTGCATTGACACTGATAAGAACCCTCGTTGTCAGTACAAGTGGCATTTGCATAGCATGGGTTAGTCAAACATTCATCAATGTCTTTAAAACACAGTTTCAAGAGTAAGAATAGGATATTTGATGTTGGAGAAATGTTAATAAAGATTGTTCTTACTGAAACAGTTTAATCCATTTCCTGTAAATCCACCATTGCATTGACATTGATAAGAACCCTCGTTGTCAGTACAAGTGGCATTTGCATCGCATGGGTTAGTCATACATTCATCAATGTCTTTAAAACAAAGTTTTAAGAGTAAGAATAGGATATTTCATGTTGGAAACGAATTATTTGATGTTAGTAAAGATTGTTCTTACTGAAACAGTTGAATCCATTTCCTGAAAATCCACCATTGCATTCACACTGATAAGAACCCTCGTTGTCAGTACAAGTGGCATTTGCATCGCATGGGTCAGTCAAACATTCATTGATGTCTTAAAAACACAGTTTTAAGAGTAAGAATGGGATATTTGATGTTGGAACATTGTCAGTAAAGAAGATTGCGCTTACTGGAACAGTTTAATCCATTTCCATAAAATCCATCATTGCATTGACACTTATAAGAACCCTCGTTGTCTGTACAACTGGCATTTGCATCGCATGGGTTGTTTAAACATTCATCGATGTCTTAAAAATACAGTTTTGAAGAGTAACGCCGGTATTCTAAGACCTCACTCACACTCTCTCTCATTGAGTGGATGCTCAATCTCAATTAGTGCAACTCACCACTCAATGAGTGTCCACTCGCACTCACATAGTAAATGCTACACTCACACTCCAGCTATTCAAAGACACCACTCACACTCAAATAAGGCTCAGATTTTGAGTGAAGTGTGAGTGAGAGGAATACGTTCCTCGAGCTCCACTCAGTTATTCTAAGTTGTACTTTGTGACTCAAATATAATGATTCAAATATGGCGGAAATGTGGTCACATCAAACACATCATACTTAAGCTGTTTATTTGCGCCGGAATCGTAAAAGGAAAAGAAGCAGCTTCATCGTCTTGTTTCGATGATGAAGAACCACCACCATTTAACTTTCTCTCTCTTCTCCATCGCCTGTTTCGTTTCTGTGCGGGTCTTTAAATTTTCCCAACACGTTTTTTAACCGTTTTGAATCCCTGTTTTTTCACACCTCATCGGGAAGTGATTTGGTCGAATAAAGCTTCCTCGTTTTATTTTTCTCTTGCATGGTTTTGTAATCGTTCTTTTTATTTTCTGAAAGATCTTTTTGCTGCCGCACTAATTTGGTTGACAGCGACCTTTCCAATTGCAAGAAATATTGTCTACTATTGCCTACTATATCAGTAACGTCATACGAACGCATTGTGAAGTCTAACTACAGGATTACATGGTGTCTTTTCAGCCGGGGCTGAGTTTCAGCCCGGCAAACTGGGGCCAAAGTATTTTTCAATTACATGACAAGTTTCAGCCCGGGCTGTGTTTATGACACGTCAGAATTATTTTAAAACCAGGCTGAAATTTCAGCCCGGGCTCAGTTTGTAAAGGCTGGTAGTAGAACTATTTCAATTCTTCCAGCGCTTCAAAATCCCGAATGACAATAACTTGACCTTTAAAACACTATGACAGCACATGCATAAAAGTGCAATAAACAAACGAAAAAGCATTGTCAAGGCGAATTTTTTTGTCCGGGTTTAAGTTTATTTACGATTACATGACAATAACACTATGTTTCAGCCCAGGCTGAAGTTTCAGCCCGGGTAACTCAAACCGGGCTGAAATTCTTGTCATGTAATCGCGTGCGCGATTTCGTTAAGATTTTATAACAACCCCAGGCTCCATGTAAAAACACTCCATGTAATCAGCCTCTTAAAGGCATTCGTCAATGTCTTAAAAATTATAGGGTTAAGACCTCTGTGAGAATAGGCCATTTAATGTAAAACATATCAGGTAAAGATTGTTCTTACCGGAACAGTTAAATCCATTTCCTGAAAATCCATCATTGCATTGACACTGATAAGAACCCTCGTTGTCAGTACAATTGGCATTTGCATCGCACGGGTTAGTCAAACATTCATTGATGTCTTAAAAATACAGTTTTAAGAGTAAGATTAGGATATTTGATGTTGGAAATATGTCAGTAAAGATTGTTCTTACTGGAACAGTTGAATCCATTTCCTGAAAATCCACCATTGCATTCACACTGATAAGAACCCTCGTTGTCAGTACAATTGGCATTTGCATTGCATGGATTGCTTAAACGGCATTCGTCAATGTCTTAAAAATGATAGCGTTAACACGTCAGTGTAAGAATAGGCCATTTAATGTAAAGCATATTAGGTAAAGATTGTTCTTACTGGAACAGTTAAATCCATTTCCTGAAAATCCATCATTACATCGACACTCATAAGAACTTTCTTTGTCAGTACAAGTGGCATTTGCATGACAAGGTTTCGTTAAACATTCATCAGTGTCTAGTAATTATAATCACAAATTATCAGCCAGAAGACAACAATACACAACATTTCAAGTTACATGGTATTTAAAACAATTTTGACCTACTTGTACAATTTACTCCATTGCCAGAAAATCCCGGATTACAAATGCATTCAAAAGAACCCTCGTTGTCAGAACAGTTAGCATTGGTATGACATGGGCTGTTTAAACATTCATTTATATCTACAAATTACCACAAATAAACAGAACAATAAGCTACAAAGCTGTATATTTGAACTAAATTACAGTTGCAAAATTCAACGGCTTGCAATGGAAAAAATCCAGCTTACTTGAACACGAAAGTCGACCATCACCGGAAAATCCTGGTTTACATCGACAATCATAGGAACCGATTTTATCTATGCATTCTGCATTGACATCGCAAGAACTATTTTGCAGGCATTCATTAATAGTATCTAGAGATATAGAAGTAGATAGGATTGCGATTACAAGTATTTTAACTTTCTACAGCAGAGACTATGCAGGAAAACTTACCAACAACAACGGCTTCAAAAAGTGGACTTGGTTGACTTGTGGCTTCATCAGAACCTTCACCATATATAACACTGACATTCCAATAATAGGTTTCATTCGCTATAACTGTAATATTCTCTACAATCTGATAACCAATTCCAGTTTCGTTATCCCAATTAGTTGAATTGAATGAGAGGACCACGCCACTTCCCGCTTGCTCAATTCTTAACTTCTTAACGCCAGCAAAGTTGCATCGTTTTGCTTTCCACGTAATTTTTGCACGGGTTGAAGAAAGATACTCGACTGATACGATAGACGGTGGATCAGGATCTAAGCGTAAATGGAATTGCTTTTGACAAAGTTATGAAAATCCTGTTGTGGAACGAAATGATTGCACTAGAACCTGTCCGGCTTGTGGTTGGTCAGATGCTAAACACTGAATGCCTTGAAGTGTCAATGTAATAGCAAATGGAACAACTAAGATACCATTGAAATGTTCTGCTTTTACATACCTATCAATGGTGTACGGTCCACCAAGTTTACAAAATGTTTCATATTCTCATCCAAAACAACAAAACGGATAAGACCAGTATCCGCACATGTCAGGTTACGTTCAACCTTAACCCTCCAATAAACATCTTCACTCATCACTCTTAGATAATCCGTATAGTTCATCCATGAACTGTCTGGGTGATCCAATCTTTCAGCGTAAATTTGTGGTCTGGGATAGCCAAGAAATAGAACCTTGATTGTTTTTAGTCTTCCACGTCGTACTTTTGACCTCAAATTATTCTCTACATGTTGCACAACAATAGGCGCTGAAATTTAGGAGAAAATTAGAATCTATAAAGCTTTTCGAATATCAGTCCTCAATTGGAAATGACTTGGCTAAACTATTTAATTAGAATATTCAATGAAAGGTTTTCTGAAGGAAACGCATGTCAGTGGTCAGAATAAAGTAGAAAACCTTCATAATAAGATTTAATAAACTTCTACAATAAAAATATGTATCTATGCTTGAAAACGCCTACTTGATGTGTATAAATATACTGGCGCTCAATACCTTCCACGGTCAGAGGGATTTTTCCTTCTTGAAACATCCCACCAGAGTTTATTTGACAAGTGTACACGCCACAATCGTGATAGTCGAAGTTATATAAAGTTATGGAACCATACAGATATTCTCCTTCAATCCAAGACCGTTTGTTACTGTTGTTCAAATGCGATGGTTCTCCTATCGTTTTCTTGTACCATAAGAAGGTGGATGACGTTTCCGTATCCAAGATTTGACAGGTGATGGTCACTGTCTCATTCCTTTTCAAAAGATAACCAACTGGACGTCTCTCAGTTGCTGTACTTGACGAAGTATTCGACTTAAAACTGATGGTTATGTTATCTGAAAATATCCAAATTAATTACACTGAAAATTCAGGAAGGTAATGAAGTGGATTTTCAACTCAACAATTAATCGACTACGTTCATTGACTAATCATTTGTTGGTGCATAGATTTGAATACCATGCAAGTGTCTTTTCAATTGCAATAAAGAATCTTTACATACCAGATAAAACAGCATAATATGACAGCGAATCTTGACTCCATACGGGATATGACACCCGTATGATCCACTGTGTTTTGAATGTTGTGCTGAACTCAGGTCCTTTTTCAACCATCGTAATACCGACACCAGATTCGGTGTTATAACTATTGTTGGCACTCGAAGTGTTTTGATAGAGAGTAGTTCCACTTATTACATCCGTCACAGTAATGTAGATTTGTTGAGGAGGGAGCATATTGCATAGACCAGCGCTCCACGTCAGTTTCACTCTTGACTGTGACTCGCTCGTCACAGAAATAATTTTTGGAGGGTCAGGATCTAAAAGTAGTTAGGATCATATACGATGCCATACGATACAATGTATCAACACCACATGCAAGTTATATCAAATACACAAAACATAACATAAATTGGGTTGCAACGTCTATAAAGGTGATCCAAAAAAAGACCACAGAGTCTAGCTGACCTTGGATTACAGTTTTTTGAAAATTCTATGAACCAGGAGGTTATACAGTACCTGTAATAATAAATGGTGAGGAGAATGAAAACCTTGACCGTGAGTAATCTGCTTGTTCCACAGCAACGAGATGAGGTCCAGTATTTGAACACATGAAAGAGGGATACTGGGCAGACAGTTTTAAGTAACCATCTGCAGTAAACTCGGATTTTCTTCCTCTGAAGTTGATGTAGTTTCCTGTCCTCACATTAAGTATTTGAATTTCGGCGTTATAGATCGGAAAACCTTGAAGAATCATTGCTGCTGTGTATGTGGAATTGTAAGCCGCTCCAAGAGGCATCAAAGATTGTTGTACAACCTTGACGCTTGCTAAAATTGTAGAGAATGCTCGTGTAAATATAAATATAAATGCTTGAAAGGACATGTGGAAGAAAAGAGGCAGAATAGTAATATCACTTAATATAAAGAAAATGAAAAGAGAATTGAAGAACAGTCATTAATAAAAGGAACTGTGCCAAATACAAGAAGGGAAGAACGATCACATCAGGAAATGAACAGGAATCGGAATTGAAGAAGGAAAGAAGATAGAGGATTGAAAGAAATAAGACTCACCATAGACATATAATGTTGCGTGGTCAGCTCCTTCATTATTTCCCGCAGAGCCAAAGCAACTGTAAGTGCCTGAGTCCGCGTACTCAAACTTGGAAATATTTATCACACTTGTCCATGCAAAGCCAGATGATGAAAATTCTGGATGAAATTCCTCGCTTATAACTGATTCATTTCCTCGATATGAACGCTTATTCCATGTTCTCTGGGGTGGGGTACTGGAGATTACTGTGCAAGTGAGCACTATACTTTGTTCCAGTTGAATATGGTATGCACCGTCATTTCCAGGTAGCACGTACGAATTGCCATCTTGTATTGATATTTTGACAGCAATTTCGTCTGTTGATGAAATGGAAATATATCAATTCCTCCTGCAGTTCTTTCTATTGTGACTGATTAGTTGGTTTGAGATGCACAATGATAATCAATCATGGCACATGTGTGCGACAACCTATGCTGTTTTATTAGAGAATTGCAGATGTGAAGAGATTTGCATGATAAAATGAATGATAATATTTTCCGTCAGTTACCAAATATATCACGTTTACTCTCCGCACTCAGTTTTCTATACTCACCTGAGATCTTTGTCGAAACAGCGGCACTTTCCTGACTCCAAATCGTCTCATCACCATAATTATAGAGTACAGCGACCGTCCACTTATACTCAATATTCAAAGCAAACTCATTTTGAGGCACAATGAAAGAACCTTTACCAGTGCTTGCGTTCCAGGACGTGTTATTTGTTTCAAAGAGGATCGGAGTATTTGAAGCATTAGGGTAGAATGAAACACGAACTGCTCTTACTGGCCCCCCATTACATCCGGGGGAGTACCACTGGACCACAGCTCGGCTGGTACCGTTGTATGTTACTGTGACGGATGTGGGGGGATCTGGGTCTGAAATTATAAAAAGATATTTTAATCGACAAATTCTAAAATTTACATCGCTGTTTACAATCACTCACCTTTTAATCGCAGTGTTTTCGGAAACAGATATCTTTTGCTGGTACCATCAGTCCTGACACTAAAGCTATGTTGTCCGGTATGAGCACATCTGCATTTATCGTAAACTCCAAAAAGAACAGCAAAAAATTGTAGCGTCCAACCTTGCCCAGCCCTTGCCGAGCTGCGTACGTACTGTCCTGTTGACCAATCTTTTCTTTCAAAGATAAACTCATCAAATGCTTCCCCCAAACCAATCAAGAAAAATACAAAACTGGAATCGAAGTTGGCGATATATTCGCTTGACGAACTCGAAGTGGCAACTGCTTCAAAATAACCTAACATGATAGAACGAATATTGGAAAAACATGAATGCAGTCTTTTGGCCATATTTTATCAAGGGCATCATATAATTATCGCTATGTTAACAGTTAACTTAATTTTTGTGGAACGAGACTTGCCATCATCTATCAGCCATAGTATCCAGGACAACAGACCGCAGGACAAATTTGTGAGCACACCCTTCCTTCCCAATCAAGAAAGCAGGCAGGTGTTTTGCTGCCCTTGCCAGACTTGTCGCGGTTTCAGTTACAAAAATCCATTATTTACCTTGTATATTGAGATACAGCTCTCTATGTTGAACACTCTTATTTCCAATCTTTGTTTCGCAAGTGTATTTACCAGCAACGTCTTTGTCGAAAGGTGGGATATCTATGTCAATTTTCCACAGATTTTTGCCTTCAGAGCGGGGATTGTTAAACGTAGCAAGTGTTTCGACTGGCCATAAAAGAATAGGGTCTCGTTTCAGTATTAAAGTTGGTTTTATTACTGAAGCAACTTGACATGTAGCTGTGAGATTTGTCCCTCTTTTCACCAACAAGCCACGAAACGAGTTTGGCAGTCCTGGGGCATCAACTTGGATAATGGAGGATATGAAAGAATCTAAAGAACATAAGATTGTTGGTAATAAGTGCGTTGCATTCAACCGCAGAATTTAAAATAACGTTTTCAATCAGTAAATTTAAAATTACTTTAGTGATATTTGTCTGCAAGATCGATTACCTGGAATCAGGAAATTGAACACCGCACTATCATCACTGAATACAACATCACCATTCACAACATAGCGTGTATTTAGTTTGATTGTAAGTGTGGTGTTAGGGTAAAGTAGAATTGAAGAGATTACATGAAAAGTGCTGTTTGTGTTGGTTAGTAGAGTCCAGTTTGTGGAACCATTCACTGTCTCATCTGTTGATTCTGTTTGGTAATATACCATGGTTGTAAAAGGAAATATGAGAGAACAACCACCATGTGACCACGTGATATTCACACCACCATTATCCTCGGCAGTTACATTAGTGACGTTCGGCTGAACATTAGGATCTATAGATGTGGATCAATTGTGAATATATGGGTAATTTTTCTTAACTGGGAGTTTTAAAATGAAGGGTCTGTATGTTTGAACCTTTTTAAGGTTCTAGATAGTTTGGTCAAACTGCATTAATGTAGAAAATTTTGTATTGATAGTTTGATGAAACTGTTGATAAATCGTTCTTCTTTATTAATAGAGCCATGCTTAGATTTATTCCATTTTTGTTTAAAGTTCTATTGTCATATTGGGCAAAAAAGTTAAAAATTCCTACCACAAACTTGAAGACTAAGATCATCCAAAGCAATCGCCAGATTTGGACCAGCGAAAAACGCCACTAAATTTGCCTAGAAGAAGATAACTCGATGAAATCACTGCACGACTTGTTGTAGAAGAATACACGCTACCATATGTGCGATATATTCTCTATTGCTGTCCGAGGGAGAGGCTGAAGTCATGAAGGTAACATGTCATGAAATAACTATGAAAATCAAACCAACCTACCGAGAAAGATGAATTCACTTTCATTTCAAATTGTTTATATTGCCAGTTCCTTACACCACGTGAAGTTGTGTTCCAGATTGATAAAGTTTCAGAAGCATGTTTAATAGAAGCGGACAAAACTCCTTCGTCCTGTCCGTAGATGAAAAACCAGAATCGTAAACGGAACAATTGTCCTCCAGAAAACTGAGAAATAGAAGAGGAGAGGCTGCCTCCAGGCAGTTGTCTGAATGTCAAAAATTTCGCAGTGGGATCTGAAATAATCAAAAAGAAATTGAAATTTATGAAAATTATTATACTCAGAAATCGGACTTGCTGATCGTGGTAGGCCTCAATGTCATGATTGGGATCGAGCAAAGTTAAAATGAAATAGCCGTCGTGGAATAAATGTGGGCAATGTCATTTTTCTGGGTCTAATAATAATTAATTACCTTCACATTTTCCAGAAGTATGATCATAATAGGGCATATTCCCCATAAATACATTCTGATTACCAATACCAGTTATCGCAGCACTGACATCTCCAAAACCATTACACACACTATTCTCAAAAGAACAATCTTGATTTGTGGGCTGCACACACTTGCGTGTATTAGCGGAGTAGTCTTGAGCACACCAGGTTCCTGAGTCACATGGTGTTGACAGACATGATGCACGACCAACACTAGATGAGGTTCCTTATGAAAGAAAGAATAAAAAAGATGAAACAGATGTTTAACCACCGACAAATGAAAGCAACAACCATTTGTTCAACTCCTCGATATTAAAAGGTAAAGCATTTATCATTTATCCTTTGTTCTAACATCATTCTCTATCATTTTATAAAAAGAAGAAGAAAATAACAGCGAGCCTACCATTCTTATGCAGTTGTTCGACTTCTGAAGAATTAAGTGCTCGTTTCCATATAATCAGGTCATCAATGAGCAAACTTGAAAAGCTTTCACCGCTGGAAGTTTTCTCATAGCCCACTGTGATGACATCATCAAAATATCCAGGAGTTTGATTTGCATCAGAAATATTGGTTGAGACGACAAGTTTCCCGTTTTCGTAATACTTCAATCCATCTGCCTCTTTCCACGTGGCTGTCACGAGGAAGACACCCATAGGGATGCAGCTACGTTCAATAGTCCAGCTCTTGTCCACACCTTGGTAAGTGATGAAGAATTTCCCTGCTTTAACAAAGACGTGAAAACCAGCATTGCCCATGCGCAATACGATCTCTCCAGATAAATACTGCAGCCAAAATGATACGGTTAATCCCTCTGTGCAATGTACTGGGTTTACCAAGCAAGGATCTTTAATTGTCGCTATGAAACAGAACGTTTACTGTCAAGATTATTTACATATGGAAAAATGGAAAGGATTGCCTGTTGCTGCAACCCTACGAAAACGGAACAGTAAGAACTTGCAAGGATTACCTGAAATCAGTGCTCCTGAGCCATCACGATCTAATTTTGCAACATTACCAAGGTCAACAGATTTGTAAATACGCGCATCTCCTAAAGCAGTGACATATAAAGTTGGATTGAAGTGGAAGCTATCTTAATAAAGCTAGTGATACGAAGTATACCTATATATAATGCACACAATGTCGGAGACGTACCATATCTGGTAAAATGAATACGGCTAACTTTGTCGATAAAGCGATTTCCGAATAGAATAATGTTAAATCCCCAGTAATGTAGTAATCCATTCGTTGAGACTGTGAGATCTAGAGAAAATGGAAAACTGGATTTAAAAACAAGGAGTAAAGGAATATACTTGTCGAGTGATAAACTTTATTTATTATTCATTTTCTCCACACCATTCAGCTAGTGTGCCACCCCCCGTAACCAATTATGTATTGAAATATATCTCACCTTTGCTGACACTCATATTGCAGTAAAAACCAGTTGCATCGTCACCACAATCACAATATCTCTGGCCGTTATACTCTTGACAAGTCTTATTCCCAAAGCACTGACTATCATCGTTGCACTCTATAGCTTGAGAACAGTCAACTCCGATGTAACTGGCTGGACAGTTACACCTGCTCTCTCCACTCCCATCATCAGTAACACAAGAACCTCCGTTGAGACAGGCGGAAGAACACGTTGCTGACGTTGTAACTGTTGACAAGAGCAAAAAAAGAATTATAAAGAGAGGTTGATTCTGCCTCCTCCACAGGCCCTCGTTCTTCCCATGAGGCAACTGAACGAGGGTCTGCGGAGGAGGCAGAGGTTGACTGGGGATGGCGGGTGACATTTTAGTTTAACCCTCAGTTTTCACACCTGTGTGTGCGGGTGAACTCGTAGGTCTTTGCCAATCAAGTCACTTCTTATAATCTGAAGTTATCAATTTCTATCAGAGCTCCCCCATGAAAAATACCCTCAATTTCATTCATTGAAGCAAGGCTGTCAAATGTGTTACATAATCGTTGCGTAGGTACCAAAAATTATTAAGAGAATTCAACAATGAAATGGCTGGTTGAAATGCGTGGAAGCCCTCCTTCGAGTGCGATCTAATATGTCCCTCAAGGTCTCAAAAATATATGCCTCAAACCCGCCTTAGTATAGAACGTGACGGTTGGTTATTCCAGGCATAATAAACTAGACGAGTAAGATCTAGATGGATTAGTCTCTCGGTGGCAATTTCACAGCAGCATGCTGAAGCATTGAAATATCACATTAGGTGGGATGAATAGACAACCAGAACATATATTTTATATCCTTGCTGGCGTCAGCTGCTTTTAAGTTTGGTCGATAAGAGTTTAGCTTTTCGTTTCTGCAAGAGTTCAGTTTTTAAACGATGTGGCAACAATAGCCTAGAGGGATTTTCGGTTAGGTTTATTTAGCGAACTGACTCAAACGAAGAAACAAAATTTAGGAAATAAATTGTTCGGCATTCTGAGTGCGTGGGAGAGTGACCGGCAGCTTTGACGTGCCTTTAGAAAACGGTAAAATCATTCAAATCCTCCGCATTGTGTTCAATTAGCTGTAAAATATGGCCAAATTGTTGCTGTTGCAAAATTTAAAAACGTCGACTTTACATATATCAGGCTAGCCACGTAGAGATATGAAAAAACTCAATTTTTGAGCATCTTAAGTATTTGTATGTCGCATTAATTCTACCTTAAAACAGCAGTTAATGTTAACACAGGGAATGTAAATATTGTTAATTCAGGATCAAGCAAAGTTCAATGACCTTCTGACAGAATATGACTTGCTATGTCACATTAAATTACACTTTACCTTTGTGACGATTCTCACTGCTTTTCCCTATTATTTGTGTTTCTTTGTAGCTGCACTTTCCCGTGCGAACATTACAATTATATATTACAAGCAGAGAAAAGAATATAAAAAATTAGCAGTCTTGCTTACCAATTATATTTGAGGATGACCACACTAGGAATAACCAGTAAAGGTTGGGCACAATCATTGCCCCGACCTGTAGAAAATATGAAATAGGTTTAATTGAGGAGATTGCAAAGTGAATGTTCAAAATTTTGTTAAAAAATGTTGTGGGATGGCGATTATCAGTTTGATTGCCGTATTACTGGATGAATGAGCGAAAGAAATTCCACTATCCCAGACCTTTCATCACACTTCGTCTTCAAGAAACTGGTAATTGGGTTACATACCAACCAGGCAAGCTAAAAATTAGCCTCACCACGGTAGGATCGAACCTGCGACCTTTGGTTTACCATGGACAAGTCTGATGCTCGACGAATGAAAGTTCCGAAATAACACCGAACCGTCTAAACCTAGTGGCCGCTCAGTTGGAGTAATCGATTGACCTGAGTAATACAATCATTGTCAATAATTGTTAGTCTTAATTTCTCCTTATACTTCAGTGAAAGAGGTTTCTCAGTGCATGATGACAGCGCGTGATAAGGAAACGACAACATATATTTCTTTACTTCTGGTCGGCTCGAAAATATACCGAAGCACTCGCAGGCTAAGTTTGAATAAAAATCATTACACATTACTTTGCAAAAGGCTATGAAGTTTCCTGAGAAGACAAAAAACAAGATTTGAAGTGCGGAAAGCATGTACGTATAGATTAAACACTCACTGTCGACAGCATTGGATATATTTAATATGTCTTATATGATCATTCTTCATTCAAATCAGTTCCCTTCACTCATATATTAAGATGATTTCAAATTCTTTCGATTGCTTTTTATCCTGAGAAGTCCTCAGACATAGAATCAGTATTTGGCAAGCAATCATGTTTACCAAATCTAGTAAATATTTACCTAACCCTATTAGTTGATGTCGAGAATTTTCAGTATCAACAAATCTTTGCTGATGGCAAAACAGTTGAAAAATAATTGGTTAAGCCTATAAAAGTCGAGTATCATCCAGAAAAGGTGGTATTTCTTCTCCAATATTGCTAAATGAATATTATTAGACGCGAGTACTTGTCGAATACTGTATGATGTACTTACAGTGAAGTTTTTAACCGATCATAATATACAATGCGGCCATTGGTAAAACTCATTGTGTCGTTTAATGAGGAATCAATTTGTACATTAAGAGGTTAATGACCACAACTGTTTTGTCAACTATAAGAGGTCGGCTGCCGCATGCCTAACACTTACTTACCAGTATTCCAGTGTCCTGAGGCTCAGTCGAGTTTAGTCGCCGAAATCGACAAGCAAGGCAAGTTTACGCTGAAAATACAAACTGTCAAGTATACAGATACAAGAACAAACAATACCGGTGATCTTCTGTGTTGTCACTCCAAGAAGTACGATTATAATATTTCGATACAACGTACCTTGGTTAAAAACGAAAATAAAAACAAAATAAGCTACCCACAACGCAATATGAAGTTCGTATCGATAATCTTTAGATTGATTAAATATCCTAAGATAGATATCCTGTTGAGTAAGACAATGCCGACTGTGAATAAATGAAATTCTCGGTCATAATAGAAACCTTGAAATACTCTCGTGATATGCTTGGAAGAACACCTGGACAAAAGAACGCTTACATCGGAATAATAAAATTGAGAAATCACGCTGTGCACAGCGATTATGTAGGTTGAAAATGATGGATAACGAAAAGTCTCTTTGTATAAACAGATTCCTAAATTCTATCTCTCATGTATGTGGTATATCCCGGTATTATACACAACGCAGGTTAGTCAGGTTTTGAAAATAGACAAGCTTGTTTATTTATTTCATTTCCAGGATTCGAAAGAGTTGTTTTTATAGGTCTGCCTAATTGCATCCATGCTTATCAATCCTATACCTTCATTCAGGGTCTTTCTGCAAGGAATCTTTAATAGAATCTACTGCAAGTAAGGTGTTCTGAGGAAATGAAAAAGCCTCGATCGTATAAACAAGTCCTTGCCTGCCGTACACGGAATGTCTGAGCAATATGTAATTACCGTGGGTGGCATTTGACTCAGTTGGTTCAATTCCAACCTCCAAAATGATATGACGTCATTTTCTCTTGATCAAACATTGAAATATGCTCTCAAATTAGCCCTAAAACTGAAGCTAACCCCGACCCCTGTCCCTTACCAAGAGGTTTATTATTATAATGTATAGCGCCATGTCATATTGGCGGATGGAAACAAGTGAAAATCCGGCTAAGAATGAAAGCATAAACTATTTCGCAGCAAAAATTCTCTCCAAACGTACGTGATACCCGATTGAGCTGTTCGTTGTCATATTAGCCCAGATCAGAAAAAATATTGTAACATCTTCAGCAAGCTTAAATCACTAGTGAGATATCAAAATACCTCAGTCGAATTGTGCGATAAAAATCTACGTAAATGATTTACCTAAATATAGATGGCCTTGTAATAAACTTTCCACCCACTGTCCACAGATAGCATCAGTTTAAAAGAGTGGATAATTATACCTCATTATTGCGTAAAATCCATTAGTATCATTGACTGCGTAAAATAGTCAGGTTTTGGTTTTAGATGCGAGCAGAAAGATCACGACGTTATGGCCGACTGCCATTTGTTAACCGTGTTTAATACCCCACTGGTTTACGCAGAAGTCTAGGTCTAGCCTTGCTTTGAACTATATTTTCGTACTAGATTTCAACCCAATTCAGCGTAGTCTTAATCAAATAATCATGATTGTATTTCCTTGAAAGGAGGCTCCCTAAAATCCAGTTGTCAATGTCTGTGTGTGTTCAGGCTCTAGGATTGATCTAGCCCAGCATTAGCCGTAGTGTAAAGTACGGCTTATGGTCCCCTCTTTAAATCATTATACCAGATGATTTAATTAATGAAATGCAGAAATTCTTTTGAATACATCCTGACTGCAATTTTTTATAACATGTGGGCGAAGTATAAGAAGAAAATGGGTGTTATAAGTGCCAAATTAAAAAAATACATCACACGCTAATACTTTTGATTTTATTTGTCATACAAATATGCTAACCAGTAACCATGCAACTGAAGTAGCTCTACTCAGCAATATGTGCACACAGTGTCGTTTTCAATCGTTTTAAACTATTTGAACTCTTATCCTTCATCACAGTCCAACATTAAAGACATACATTATTGTTTTTATCCATTTTGTTTTGTAAGAACACAAATTCGATCAGAAATAGAAAGGAAACAGCATAGTGTGTACATATTCTCAGCTACAGTTATCATAAATCCGTCAGAGTGGTGAAGAACGTTTGCATCAATATTTCTATTACAATGGATCAACAGTTGATGGTTTTTCAAGATCATGAATGCCATCTCCGTCAACGTAGCGAATTATAAAACTTGGCATGTTTATAAGGAATCTTTTTTGGATCTAAATGGTGTAAAAAACAAGGTTTTCAATTACTTAACATGTGTTTGGCATAAACAGACAAACAAACAATCTCTCATACCTCTGCAATGCACTTTTTAATGACATTTTGAGCTTCTTCAATCGACATATCTTCAATAAAAAGATTAATTAAGTATCAAATAAGTAAACAACTATAATAGATGAAATTTTTAAATAACTGTTTGGTAGTGTAAATACTTCATTTAAACGAAGAAATACTCAGTTTGCATGTACATAGATACCTTTCTTATAATATCTGTCTAAAATTCCCATGATGAAAAATGCCCCATAACCATGAGCAGCAAATGGTACCTGATTGAAAATAAACAAATTAGCATGAAGACTAGTCAGCGGTGCTTTGCAGCCCATCACCAGTAAATCCCCTAAAGTTCATGTAATTTCCTGGCTTTCACCTACTTTTTGTTGCGATGCCAAATAATCCATGAAATATAATTCAGGTCCTGAATGCTTGTCATAACCAGCCAACAGTAAGTTTACTTGATACGGAGTCTAAGATAAGAATGACTTTAGTGATTATCTTCTTATGATGAAAATCACGTAACTAAACGCAATATATTGTACCATGCTACGGAGGTAATCTGCAAGCTCTTTTCTTGTGAAATTAGCTGCTGCATGTGGTGATAATTCATATCCTAAATCAGAGAGAAATAACACTTGTTGCTTTGTAAACTAGATGGGTTAGAACTGTGACTACCACAAATTAAAAACTGGTCATGGGACAACCAAATTAATCCAACCAAGGCTTACCATTCCTCATCTTATACAGTTGAATTTTCTTCTTCATGTGCTCTGCAAACTGTACTGTATCACCTGATTCTCCAGTTACCAACATCACCAACTGATCACTTAGTTTAAACATCTTATCATAATCTAAAAGGGTTGACAATTCAAACATGCTGTAAAGATCAGTTCACACAATCCAATTTTGTTGGATCCAATAAACTTTTGATGGATGTTTTATAGTCTGTTAATGTGTAATATATACGGGCAGCAAATCAACTGCAAGCCAATGCCGTACTGCTCTATTAATACCAGACTACATTCCATACGTCAGAAGTGAATTGGACCCAACTGACCAACGAAATTGAATGGTGTGAACAAACCTTAAAAAGATGTGGGCACAATAACGCATGCAATACTACATGCTATTTTAACAACGTTAACAACCATATATATTAATTTACAAAATATAGCTGAGTAATAGTGTTATGTCATGAGGCAGAACAATTTGTGAAAGAATATGATTTGCATACGCGTGCACACCCATTTTGACACGAGAAAAGGACAACAGGTGATGATGTCTGAGTTATACTTACCATCTTTCATACGAACAATACTTCGTCCTTGATTACAATCGCTTGCAATCATCACAAAATCTTTTCCTTGAACTCCGAGTAGAAACTCCATTTTGAAATTATCTCACAACCGAGCATGCGGTCTTTGAGCCAGCGCCGCAGAACACCTGCCGTCCGGGGGGGGGAGAGCTTTGCTTCTGAGAAGTCAAGTTACTTTATATTACAAAAACATCGATATTTTCTGCAACTAAATAAAAGTGTTTGGTATGAAAAAGATTCATTTTATCATGCTGAATAATGTTTTCAGATTTCCCATCCACCGTGCACAAAACTCTGTGCAGACTGTAGGGTATTACGTTGCATCATTTTTGGTACTGAGATTCAATCTATATAATCCAAAGACCATTAATAGCTCTTCTGCAAAAGCAAAACTTATTTTGTTAAGGGAAAAGCTCGGAGAAAACTAAAATATTCGTACTTTTAGTGGTTTTAAAATAAACTTCATAGAAATGCTGCCTGAATTTTGGGTGAGCCTGCACGCCCGCAATTTAAAGTTGACTTTACCTTCGTGATCAAAGTGTAAACAAACGTGAATCCATGGAGTTGAAACGAAGCTAAAACAAATAATTTCAGAGTCATTTATCAAACAACGGCGGGCTAAGCGCATTCGTTTATCCGCGGATAGAAACGTACGTCTGAGAAAGTTTTTTCTCGCAAAAACGCGAAATATACAGGTGGCCGAAAATGGGAGTACAACATTTAGAGATGCGAAGAATGATCGATTCTGCCTTGGGACATCCCGAGAAAGGAATTGTCAATTTAAACATTCTCCACTCACTTCTTCACGAAATACTTAATCATCTGGACAAAAAGACATCGAATAACGACGCTGCAGGTTCTGGAAAAGACGAAATCGATTTTTTATCGGAAAGGAAACCGTATCAATCGGACGCAAATATAGACTCCGCGAAGAACGGTGAAGAGACCTCAAACGGAGTATTGGGATGACAGGAAGCAAAGAAAATCTTTCGAGGTAATGGTACAGTTGTATGATTTATTAAAGAAATATCGTTAGTGCATGGTTACAGGTTTAAGGTATTTGTAGCGCGCGATGTAAAAATGCGCGCCTAAATGTAGATGAATATAAACAACGATAAAGTTAATTGAATCCTAATTGCGTATTACTATCTACACTCTAATTGTCAGAGTATTTCTTATCATTTTGTTTTGGTAAAAGTTGAGATATTTCGCAGTGTTGGGGGTGGCTGGAAAAAGCTTTAAATAAAACCCCTTAGTGTCTTAACGACATTAAATATTTACAACTAAGTACTGCCATTTGCATTAGTTTAAAACTTCTTTCCTCAAACGGCTTATTTACGAATAATTAGGTTTATTAAGCGATGTCTTTTGCAATTTTAAGTGCCATCTTTATTGACTTGTGGCTTAAGTTTGGATATTTCGGCGTGCTGAAGGATTTGCAACACAAAAGATAGTGCATTCTGTAATAAATTTTTAATGATATGTTTTATTAAGCATGCATGGTTTAATAATCGTTGTTTATGCCGGGTGAAATTGAACCATCTGTAAGCTATTGTGTCTGCAATAACCAGACAGTCACATGCAATCACAGTGCAAAATGTTTATTGTTGTATTCTGTTGTCTGTACTGTTTTTACATTCCCCATACGCATGACACTTTAATAATAGTTCTAGTTGATGATATCGTACACAAGATGTTAACCACCTTTTAATCCACACAGCAGTGAATCATTGAATCTGAATGAGTTTGAAGCAAGACTGGCCTCTATTGAAGCAAAGCTTAGTACCTTAGAAAATCTGTCAGTAGACAAATCCTTTCTTGCGCAAAGTGCAAACTCAGATGATAGCCATAATACAGCTCAGGATAAAAAAGAAAATGCATTAGCTATGATGTGGAAATACATGAAAATACAGAAAAGAGTTCAAGCGACCGAAGAAGCAGTTGAGAAAGTCATGAACATTCTGAATGATGTGATTGAGGATGTTGGGCAACTAAAGAATGTTAAGTCCAATCTTGAGGAGTTACGCAAGGAACAAATGAAAATGTCAGGAGCGTTCGACACTTTAAAAAGTGGTGGAGAGTTGACATCAAATTCAAAAAGGAAGGTTGGTGAACTGTATTCTTAGGAATACTTTCCAGTCCATTATCATCACGATAACATATAATCTAGCCTTAATTAGATCTTAATTAATGCCACCCAAGGAGCACTAAAATGATGGTTTGCAAGGTCACCATAAATCCGTCCAATTTTCAACATAGATACACGAGATATCACTTGTGTAATTTCATCTCTCAATCTTTTCAAAAGTTGGATCATTCGGACGAGGTTGCATTCAAGAGTGATCTTGCACCGTTTGTCACGTGGACAGCTCTGGAACAAGCTTTGAACAAAAGAGAAGTTGAAGCAAAAGGGGTTGTAACAGCAGATGATGGTGGAGAAGAACATGTGATGCTGGAGAAACCAGACACTGCATCCGTAACACCGGGTCCACGCGATGTTCCTGTGGATCATGAACCCCCGACGACTGCAATGAGTCCAAAGGAGGATACCAAGGTAAAGACGGTGAATTAGGCAAACAAGAATCTTCCAAAAATATCTGACAGGTAAATAATTTCTTGTCTTAGCATACAGGTGAAAACCCCGATGAATCAAAGCCGTTCGTTGCAAAGGAAGCATCGTTGTCGTCGAAAGAAAACAGTCTTAGTGAAATATCCTTGAATCTTGATGAGAATATGATCTCGCAGGAAGAAACCAAGGACTCTATCACGAATAAACCTTCACCGGAATTGCTGAACCAGTTAAACAGGATTGGTGAGCTGCCGAAACAGTACGATGATGTAGCCGTCCAGGTCAGCTTCATCTTTTGAAATGTGTTTTGTAAAAGAACATTTTGTCCCTTGTATAGTCTTAGAAGTTTACGGCGACTTTATTTTAAGTGGCCGGCTATTTTTGCTGCCCAGAGACGCTTTTAACTTACTCAGTAAATCCAACAATGGACTTAATATTTCATTATAGGTATCCATGATGTCTGAATTACAAACAAAGCTTGCTAGTGATGTGCATAAAGTTGAAGTAGATATTCTGCCAAGAAAAGTCGACAAGGAAGACTTACAGTTACCCGAAAATCTGATCGAGCAAATTAGCATGCTAAAACAAGGTTGGTTTTATCTCGACGTTGCACGAGAACCCACAGAAACGTAGTGGTTAAACGGTTAGTAATCAACTTTTCAAAAGGATCACAAAAAGCACGAATCCGCTTCTATTTCAGGTCTTGATATGTTAAACACAAACCAAGATCTGAAGATGTTGGCAACTATCAAAGAAACTTCAATAAAAAATAAAGAAAACATCGACAACATAAGAGGTGAACTGTCAATGCTCTCGCAGCATCTCAAAAGACTTGACCAGCTCCGTGAAGTTAAGCCACAGGAAGATAACGCTCCCAGCTATGATCTGGAGGTATTGAATTCTGTCCGGGAGAAGTTGAACAGCGTTGAACAGGACCAAGAGAAGATGGTTTTGAAGAGTAAAGAAGATATTGATAAGATTCTCGAGAATTTAGATGAAAAACAAGTACGTTGTTCGAGCGTGTACTGAGTTGATATCAATAAGTTTTATATGATGCAGTTGTCAATCGTTTTTACAGCGAACAATTGATGGTTTATTCCAATATGTTGAGCGACTGCAAGAGAGGAAAGCAGATCGTGAAAACGTGGCCAACGAGATGGACATCAAAGCTGACAAGCACGCTTTGGAAGGCAAAGTCAACCAAAGCACTTTTGATGAAACTTTCCAAATGTTCGATAGAGGTACGTTGAGAGCTGAGAAGCAAGATTATCGAGTGACGATGTGATAAACCGCAAGTGTTGAATGATTTACGAGATGATTGACCATAGATTTTCTTCACCAGGTTTACAGGAAGCGTTGCAAAAGATGGAAGATTATATGAACGAAGAAATGGCGCTCAAAGACACTCTTTCGAGGATTTCGCGGGAGATGGAAGGAAAGATCGACAATGATTCTCTACAAATGATGAAAAATTACTTTGGTAGGTCTTCTAAAAGCATCAGTATGTGCCGAAGCTTGGAAAGAATACGAAAATCTCATTTTTCTTTTCAGAGAAACAAATCAAAGATGTTCAGGATTCACGTGATAAGATTGTGCGCGAAACACGCGTGGACGCAACCGCAAATGCTGCCGGAGTCCGCCGTAAACTTCCGATTCATTATCATTGCATCTCATGCAACAGGCCGGTGGAGTTGGCGGTCCGTGATTCAGAACCAACTTTACCTGAGAGCGAGAGTTTGCCTCTTAGAAGAATGAAAATTCCTTTTACCTCGTACGACGTAGAACAGGTATGAAGAATGTCAACGTGAAAGCCGATTAGCATCTCGTGATAATTACATGTATAATTTGCCAAACAAGAATACAATATATATATGATTTTAGTTACGTCAAAAGTCAATGAAGAATGGTCAAAATGCGGAGGAAAGCGCTGCAGCTATACGAGATCTTGTATCCGGAAGACCTTGTGGTGGTAGTCATACTCTCATCAACTCCCACCTCAGAAAGTCCACGAAAGTTCATCAGTATAATCAAGCTATGTCAGGTACACGAGTTATATATACCATACAGTTCTTACAGTACTATACCCATGCCACTGTATACTGTCTCATGCCCGACTATCGCCTAGCATACCACATAACACCATAGTGTTTTCTAGACTCACTAAATTAATTTATCATCTTACCGCAGTTCGAGAAGATTCACGTTATGTTCCAAAACTTGTGCGTGAAGTCTCCGTGCTCGACTTTTTGCGTGGTTCTGATGGTCATTATTACAAAGGACGTTCAAAACAGCTGCTGCCTGCAATCCCGAGACGTGCTAAGTATCCTAGTAACGCTGACGTGAGCCCAGACACTGGCTCATATATAGCCAGCGGCCCATTACAAGACGAGCCATCTCAAGCAACTGACAGAGAGAAGGTACATGCTGTACTTGTATTGACTTTAATAAATCGTCGAAAAAATACTTTGTGCACTTGAATTAGATAAACCTTCTTCACAATTCCTTATCTCAATGGGTAAAAAGGTTGACTAGAAACCCAAAGATATACTGTACACACTGAATTCGATGTAAATATATACCTCACCGAACAACGATTCTCAGCTTGTTATACTCTTCATACAGACATATTCCATTTTTTTATTTGAATTTCATAGACGGGAACACATTATTTTGAACGTACGCCGTCACCCCCCGTTCAGGACAATCTGTCGTCATCATATCCTGAAATATCGGATCCAAAGTCCACTCATATCCAGGGTCAACGTTACAGCTCGGACGACATCAACTTGCCCTCAAATACTGCGCTTAACAGAGAGTCGTTGAAGATATTTCGTCGAAAACGTGGACAAGAAAAGGTACGGAAAAAGCGAAGTAAATCCGCTTTGTTTTGAATGGAAAAAAGCGTTTGTTGTGTAGCTAGGTTTCTCGAGAACGCAAGTAGGGAAAACAGAATTTGATTAT